ACTAGAAGAATTATTTCATAACTGTAACTAAGCTTTGTCATTTACCGAACATGTAAGTATATTAGTGGAGAAAAATATGTTATATCGTTAAGTTATAGTATTTTTTTATCGTCGTTCACTTGGCGAACTATATCTTGAGGCAATAAGTTCTTAGTCTCCACTGAAAATATTTGTTTCTTGGTTTTGGATTTTTTGTTTTCATTTGACATTACGGTTATCACGTCCTTCTACGGGGGTGACCTTTGACATGTGATGAAGTAAACCCAACAAGGGATGAAGGAAAGACACTGTTGTTGGATAGGACGCACGTTCAGTAGCAACAAGACTATAATCAGCTTCTCATGCTAACAGTCAGTAGAGGTACCTTGGAGTGGCTGCTGCTTCTGAGGATTGAGCAGGCAGGGAATGCCCAATGTGCAGCGACATCGACTGTAATAACTGAAGTGGCGCTGCAAGGTCAGGTGGTAGCCGGTGCAGATAATTTCACGTTCCACTTTATGTATGTATATATATATATATATGTGTGTGTGTGTGTGTGTGTGTGTATATACATAGATATACATGTATGCACACACACACATAACTCATATTGTTGTCATCTTGTCACTCCCCTAAGTGGTGCCACTACCAGGCGTTGGTAGACGGCTCATGTTCCATTGTTGGAGGGGGGGGGGGGTTGATTTTGTGTGTGTGTGTGTGTGGGGGGGGGAGGGGGGTTGAAATTAGGGCTGTACCGAATAGTGGTTTTTACTATTCGGCCGAATACGAATAGTGGGACCAACTATTCGGCCGAACACGAATACGAATAGTGTATCATCATCATCAGGTGCCTGGCCGACTGGTGTGGCGATTTTGCCTCGCCACAATCTGCGATCTCCTGCAGCATGTATCAGTTTGTGTGCTGACACACCTCCATGACATGCAACGACTGTCAAGAATCTTCTCTCGTTGTCTTTTTCTATCTCTCCTTCCACAAATCTTTCCAGTGGTCACCACATGTTCCATTTTCACTCTTTCTATATGATGACTGTCTTCTTCTGATGTCTGCGATTAGTTGTCTTCGGGCTCCCGCCTCTTTCAAAACCTAGTGGTTGCTTTTTTTAAGCTGTCCAAGGTATTTTAAGCATTGTTCTGTAAAACCACATCTCTGAGGCCTCAAAAAATTGTTTGGCCTGGCTACCGATTGTCCAGGACTCATAGCCATATGTTAAAACTGGATGTATGTAGCAAGCAAGACAACGATATATTGCACAAGATGTTCTTTTTTTTTTTTTTAATATAAAATGCATTTTTAGCCTGTCCTATTTTTTTTTTTTTTTTTTAGTAATGCATCTTTCATCTGATTTTATCCATGTGCCAAATTCGCATTTAAATCATTTTTCGTTCAGGCGTTCGTTCAATGTAATTTAAATGCACCTTTATATTTTCGTTTGCAATATCTTCAATTTGAATTGGGAAAAGACACCCCGAAAGAACAAAAAAATGCATGCTTTCTCTTTGTCTCTCTCTCTCTCTCTCTCTCTCTCTCTCTCTCTCTCTCTCTCTCTCTCTCTCTCTCTCTCTCTCTCTCTCTCTCACACACACACACACACACAGATACACTTTCAAGTTTCTTCATGCCTTCTTTAACACAACAGTAGCGATGACTAAATCTTTCGTAGCGGGAAAAACGGCGACCCGTTTGCGTGGTAACAGCGCCTGACTCCGATGCATTACAGCAGAGGTTCTAAAACTGGGTGCGTATGACAGGGGTGCCACGGCGAAAATCAAGAAAAGTCGGCTATAAATTGTGACATTATTAATGATAGAGTTATTTTAGTCCATCGCAGTGTATGTAGAAATCACTATTCGTATTCGGCCCGACCGCCACTATTCGGCCGAATACCGAATAGCTAGTAGGTCCACTATTCGGCCCCGAAGCGAATACGAAGCGAATATTCGGTACAGCCCTAGTTGAAATAGGTGTTTTATTTTTTGTGGTTGAGGGGGGGGGGGGACTTTTTTTTGAGGGGGAGTTGGGGGTAATTAACAGGTAGAAGAAGACGAAGGCTGTCGAGTAGTCAAATGTTTCTGAATTATTAAATATATAATGCACATCTCTTAGATCCAGTTCCTATCAGCGGTTCCTGTGGCATACACCACGCCAACCTATCGGTCGCTAGATAAATAGACACTGAGATAAACTGAAAGAGACAGACTGACACTGAGGTAGAAAGACCGAATGACAGAAAGTAAGACGAACAGGTACTGAAATGGACCTTGGCACCGACAGACAGTATGTCGTGCAGACAGGGCCATTACCAAATGCATTGAGTTGAAACTGTATCGACAGATGAAAACACGGCTTTACCCGTATACCCGTACTAACAGTCAACAGCTGCAGTTGACAAATATTCAGTTGTTTGTTTTAGTATCCAGAAGCCATGAGTTGTTAACCCTTAGGCTCGGTATTATGGATATCGCAACCTTTCGGCCTTGATTCGATTTTAAATACCGTAAATCTGGGAGAAATGTGGCTTTTCTGCCCACCCCAGGGAGCGAACCCGGACCACAAAGTTCGTCACCCGCTCACCGCGCAATCCGGATTAGCCAACTACGCTAGAGAGACGGGCTATACAAATATTCAGTAACTGTAGCAAAACACACTACATTTGAAGTTACATCAGCCAATTTGTGGTTACATCCTCCAATTTGTGGTGACATCCTCCAATTTGTGGTTACATCAGCCAGTTTGTGGTTACATCCTCCAATTTGTGGCTACATCAGCCAATTTGTGGTTACATCCTCCAATTTGTGGTTACATCAGCCAATTTGTGGTTACATCCTCCAATTTGTGGTTACATCAGCCAATTTGTAGTTACATCAGCCAGTTTGTGGTTATATCAGCCAATTTGTGGTTACATCAGCCAGTTTGTGGTTACATCAGCCAGTTTGTGGTTACATCCTCCAATTTGTGGTTACATCCTCCAGTTTGTGGTTACATCCTCCAATTTGTGGTTACATCCTCCAATTTGTGGTTACATCAGCCAGTTTGTGGTTACATCAGCCAGTTTGTGGTTACATCCTCCAATTTGTAGTTACATCAGCCAGTTTGTGGTTACATCCTCCAATTTGTGGTTACATCAGCCAGTTTGTGGTTACATCAGCCAGTTTGTGGTTACATCAGCCAGTTTGTGGTTACATCAGCCAGTTTGTGGTTACATCAGCCAGTTGGTGGTTACATCAGCCAGTTTGTGATTACATCAGCCAGTTTGTGGTTACATCAGCCAGTTTGTGGTTACATCAGCCAGTTTGTGGTTATATCCTCCAATTTGTGGTTACATCAGCCAGTTTGTGGTTACATCAGCCAGTTTGTGGTTACATCAGCCAGTTTGTGGTTACATCAGCCAGTTTGTGGTTACATCAGCCAATTTGTGGTTACATCAGCCAATTTGTGGTTACATCCTCCAATTTGTGGTTACATCAGCCAGTTTGTGGTTATATCGTCCAATTTGTGGTTACATCAGCCAATTTGTGGTTACATCAGCCAGTTTGTAGTTACATCAGCCAATTTGTGGTTACATCAGCCAATTTGTGGTTACATCAGCCAATTTGTAGTTACATCAGCCAGTTTTGTGGTTACATCAGCCAGTTTGTGGTTACATCAGCCAGTTTGTGGTTACATCAGCCAGTTTGTGGTTACATCCTCTAATTTGTGGTTACATCAGCCAGTTTGTGGTTACATCAGCCAGTTTGTGGTTACATCAGCCAATTTGTGGTTACATCAGCCAGTTTGTGGTTACATCCTCCAATTTGTGGTTACATCAGCCAGTTTGTGGTTACATCAGCCAGTTTGTGGTTACATCAGCCAGTTGGTGGTTACATCAGCCAGTTTGTGATTACATCAGCCAGTTTGTGGTTACATCAGCCAGTTTGTGGTTACATCAGCCAGTTTGTGGTTATATCCTCCAATTTGTGGTTACATCAGCCAGTTTGTGGTTACATCAGCCAGTTTGTGGTTACATCAGCCAGTTTGTGGTTACATCAGCCAGTTTGTGGTTACATCAGCCAATTTGTGGTTACATCAGCCAATTTGTGGTTACATCCTCCAATTTGTGGTTACATCAGCCAGTTTGTGGTTATATCGTCCAATTTGTGGTTACATCAGCCAATTTGTGGTTACATCAGCCAGTTTGTGGTTATATCCTCCAATTTGTGGTTACATCAGACAGTTTGTGGTTACATCAGCCAATTTGTGGTTACATCAGCCAGTTTGTGGTTACATCAGCACATACTGCCACAGCCAGTCAGTGCACGACATATTGTGACTGCTTCCATCACTACTGGAACTCTGCGCTTGCTGCTGAAGATGATGACTAAGCACGCATGGAAATGCCCCGAGTGCTGTGATGTCAATTCTTGACTCAACTCCACACACGACAGATAAACTTTGAGACACAGAGACAATGAGAGAGGAAGACAAATATGCAGTGCGGCAGAACTACAGGTGGACCATAAGACATAAGGCTACATTGATAAAATGTCAGTTGAGAAACATTAGGGGGAAATATTTGGACTCATATACAATAATTATTGCAAAAGCCATTACCAAAGGCACATTCCCTGAGTGGGTTCTGGGACCCATTGTGGGGCCAACAAGAACAGATCCACCGCCTCTCCTCCAGTAAGTATGTCGTAAGAAACGACTTATTGGAAGGCTTCCTTCGAAGTCAGAGTTCATCTGTCGGAGAGGCAAGGAACCAACAGTCTGCATACAAATAAGTCAGACCTGTAAAACGGATGGGCGCGCAACACAAAGGTTCTGGAACAAGACTAAAGTTCAGAGGTGGACGGACAACCTGAACTTTCCCCTAGAGTTTACAATCGGTGAACGTGAAGAAGAAGAAGAGACGCACATACTTTCAGACAGTTTTATCAAAAGGTCGATGGCTGATTGATTGGTTGTTTCTATTATAGATCAAGCACATCTTGGTGGATTGCTATAAATCACAATCAAGAAGATGAAACACGCGCTACTGCCTGTGATCGCCGTGGCTATGTGTTTTCTCGTGTCTGACCACCATACTGTGAGGGCTGAATGCACTAACCCACCCCCAGGAGTCTCCAGGATGATCAGAGGCGTGGACATCACCAAACTGGACATTGTCCCCCTTCAGATTCTCGGCTCTAACGGTTTCAAGAGTCCTGTGTTAAACTTCACCTGCAGCGGTGGCCGGAGGTGGAGAAACCCTAGAGGGATAGAATACCAGTTACCTGACCAAGTGAGTCCTTGCTATCTGAATCCGTTCTTTCGCGTGTCTCACATTATGTCCATTCTCACAGCAGCCCATCCTTTAACTATAATTCTTCTTTTTCTTTGTCTTCTTCCTTAACTCCATACCGTGTGGTGTTGGTAGTCATGTATATCCACAACCTACTGTCTTGCGTACTTTCTATCAGCTCCGATACAGATGATCCTTCATGTCATGATAAACTTTCCAGCATCTCTACATCTCCAAGTCTCCATCTCCCTCTGAATTTACTTCCCTAAAACTTTCCCAGTGTCACGATCTACTCGTTTGCTCGTGCTCGTGACATGCCCAAAAAATGTAGACTGTCTCCTTCTGATGTGAGCAGACGGTTGTCATCATGGATCACTATCTTTCAAGACATTTGCATTGCTCTTCTTGTCCGTCTAGTGTATTCTCATCATTCGTCTTTAAAACCGCATCCCATTAACTATAACTAGCAGATTATATTTCCTACGTGATCTACCACGCGAACATTGTTAGACTAAAATGTTTGAAGAGCCAGGTGCATTATATCCACACACAGTTAATATTTCTTTGTTTCCCCTGCTTTTATATTCCCTAATGGAGCATAGGCCCTGAACCAACTCACGCCAAGTAGTTCTGTCCTTCGCCATTAAATGGAGCTCTCCCCATGTCCTCACTATCTTTCTAACTTCATTCTCCAGCTCTCTTCTCCGTTTTTTTTTTTTTGGGGGGGGGGGGGGTGGGGGGGGCCTTTCTTTATTGCTATGCCACTGTGGCTTCCCATGCAAAGGCATTTTAGTTATGCTGTTCTCCTGTTTTCTCAGTGTGTGTCCTATCCAACATAGTACGACTAAACTGTTTGAAGAGTCGTGTGCATGAAATCAACAAAAAGTAAATATTTTGAGAAAGCGCATCTGTAAAAAAAAAAAAAAAAAATAACTCAGAGATCCTTTCAATCCCTGTGTGTGGAGTAAAATATCCAGCAATCAGTCCACATGATAGCCGATGTCAATCAATCAATCAATCAGCTACTGTGTCCGCAATAAGGGCTTTCTGTTATGAATCTTCAACACGCTTTATCTCTTGTCTCGGTAGCGCACTCTCTCAGACTGCTTGCTGTTCGTCCATCTCGTGTGCTGTCCTCCCACTTGTATCTTTGTCTACTTCTTCATCTCTTGCCTTCAATCTGTCTCTCCGGTATGGTTTTTAAAAGAGTCATATGTCTTTTAATGTGACAAGAATATCTCAACTGTCTCTTTTCTATTTCTTTCAGTAACTTTCTTTCATTCGCAGTCTGTCAGAACCTCTGCATTTGATTGTTTTTGTTTCCATGAAATACAAACGATTCTTTTATGTGTCCACTTTTCTAGAGACTTATTTCCATGTTCGTAGACCATTTACGAATGAATAAAGAACAAAGATAACCCAGGCTTTGATCTGAAAACTTGGCGGAATATTATTGGAATTTCGTGGATCGAGAGGCAGAGAAACACAGACGATCTACTGGAACTATTCCACGTGTGTGTTCCGCTGCCCCAGTCTGGAGGAAAACAGAATAGACCCACTGCCTTCCTAACAAACATGTCGTACAAGGCAAACGAATTAGGGATGTTTCCTTCCAAAGTAGAGACATCTTCCCGAGAGACGAAGAACCAGCATTCTGCATACAAGTAAGCCAGATCTGTAAAACGGACGTGCACACAAAGCTTGAAGTTTTGGAAATGAGATAAAAAATGGGCAAACAACCAAAACTTTCTGCCCGAGTTTACAGCTGGTGAACGCAAACAATAGGAGGAGACTGGATCTATAGAACAAAGAAAACTTTCTGCCCGAGTTTACAGCTGGTGAACGCAAACAATAGGAGGAGACTGGATCTATAGAACAAAGAAAACTAGCTCAAGACAAGCTGAATGTTTCTAGAACTTGCTCTTCGGGAATTCATATCAAGATAGTACTTCCTGTTTGAGTTACATGGTACAGTCTTGCAGGCTGCAATAACAAGGGAGACACATTAGCACAATCAAATATAATTGTCTACTCTTGCATTCGTCCACCATCCTGTCTAGAATGTTTCTCAGACTACCCCCGGGTGATGCTGCTGTTAAAATAGTGCTAACCCCATGTCACTTTAGTTCAGCGGTTCTCGACCTGCGCGTCGCGACCCTTATTTGGGTAGAACAACCCTTCACAAGGCTCGCCTAAGACCATAGGAAAACACATATTCTTTGAAGTTATGAAGAAAAATTATTGTTTGGGGGTCGCCACAGCATCAGGGAACTGAATTAAAGGGTCGCCACAACATGAGGAAACTGAATTAAAGGGTCACTGCACTAGGAAGTTTGAGAATCACTGTCTTAGTTAGTAAGAAACAGCATATAATCTACTTTCACGTGTCTTCTGCAACTGTTTTTAGATGATCCGACTATCTGTTACACTGATTTGCTAACACATTACTGACTAACTTGGGTTTGAAGCAACACCCTTCAGCTTACCATATTTACATATTTCCCAGGTTTGGCAGATGACATCAATACCCGGAGGCTGGGTCTCTGCTGACGTCAGCCTCTACAAGACGTATGAAGACGTCAGGAGAAGCATGAATTCTGAGGTCGGAATCCGGGGTTCTCTTTGGAAGTTTTCCTTCTCCGCCAGCAGAAATTACATGAAACTGCAGAATACAATCTCCAACAGTTCCAGATACGTTTCTGATATCGCAGCCTTTGAATCTGCAACGCGGGTTGATTTCATTCCTAGCTGGGTCATTGAATTGGATCGTTTTGCTGCAGCTTACATCGACAGAAGAATTTCTGGAACTTTCGAGTCTAATCCGGCGGCATACAACAGATTTATAGAAAATTTCGGGACACATTACTTCTCTACAGCCAACTTTGGAGGTTATATCCGGGTCACGTTTGAGACAAGCTCCTCGTATTTCTACTCCAGAACAGACTCTGAAGTCAAATCCAAAGCAAAAGCCTCGTTCCTAAAAATTATTTCCGCTCATGGAGGGCGGGTGACAGGTTCTACAACTGAAGATTCTACATTTGTACAACAATCCACACAATCCATTCGTTATTTCGGCGGAGTTACGAATCTGTTAGCACACGGTGGAATGTCCCAGTGGCAGCCTACGGTAGATAACGATCCTTGGCTGTTTTCAGGAGAACTTCATCCCATTAGCGACCTGATCACAGACGACACCAAAAGGACATCGATGGAGCGAGCTGTAAGCAACTATGTCGTGCGAAGTTATCTCAACGAACTGGAACGACTAGTAGTCACAGCAAAATCCAAGTTAAATAACCCAGTGCTGGACTCTTTACTAACCAGAATCACTGCACAAAAAGTTAAACCTGCCTTGGTGGAGAATGAAGTGGAGGTTCTGGGCAGGGATGTTAATGAGCAGATTGTTGTGCCAGATTGGTTCAGGTCGAACACTCAACTGTGCTACAAATGGCGGGCTGATGGAGATGGGGGTCAGTGTGGTGGAGGAGCTGCTAATCTTCTGTGTGTCAGACCCAACCTGATGACTCCAGTTTATAGAGATGATACTGACAGAAGGGGAGGCGGCTGTCGAATGCAGTGGGGGATCCAATCACAAGGGTTTCCTTCTTGGTTCAACCAAGTCAGGGTTTGCTACCGCTGGTACCCTGATGGTGATGGAGGTCAGTGTGGAGGTGGGGCAGCACGAGAACTGTGTTCTAACATCAACGAATATTCACCTGAATATCGAGACGATACTGATAACAGAGGAGGTGGTTGCCGGATGTCGTGGAGGATTGAAGTCCCCGATTCCGCTCCACTCTGGATGAAGACATCAAAGATGTGCTTCTCGTGGTACCCAGACGGCGATGGCGGCCAGTGCTCAGGCCCTTCACGTGATCTATGTACTACAGCCAATCAGTGGACAGAATACTATCGTGACGACACAGATAACAGGGGCGGAGGCTGCAGAATGAGTTGGGGAATTAGGGTGGATTTGTAAATGGCACTGCAACTATTATTGCCTTCTGAAATGTGCCTGTTCATGCTCAGAGTTCTACCATTTTTGTGTTTTATCTAGTCATGAGATGCGTGAGGTATAATTTAAAAAAAAAAAAAAAAACGTCTTAAAAAACATAAGGCATTGATAATAAAGTTTGGTGAGGTATCCTTTCTAGATTTGAATCATGATTTGTTGATCTGTGTTTGAAAGATAACAATAAGAAACATGAACAAAAACGTAATGTCATGACACCCTCCCTTGCTGTCTTCTTCTTCTTCTTCCTCTTCTTCTTCTTTTTGTTTTAAATAATAAAATCGTGTTTGTCGAGACAGTCACTTTACACTGACAAGACTGGTACCGGTAGGTCATGTATAGGCTATGCATTAGTGGAAGTCTCCATGGATGGTGGTGAATATCCATAATTTGCCTCTGCCTTCTCTTGAGGGTCAACGTCTGTGGCTTAGGCGTTGCGAGCGCGCTTCGTAATGCAGGTGTGCTGGGTTCGATCCCAGCCTCATGCCTTGCGTTTTTTCGACAGTGGTAGTGAGAAGCCGACCGTTCAGGCAGCAATGGCAAACTACTGGACGTAAACTTGCCTGGAGAAACCACAAAATCAAAAAATGCAGGGATTGGTTCTGCAGCACCCTGTAAAGGATACGCAACTACCTTTTTTTCTGTTGAGGGATGATCAATATTAAGTGTTTTTTTTTCGGTTAGGCCTGCCTTGGGTGGAGGTGCGTGTGTGTGTGGGGGGGGGGGAAGGGGTTGAGGATCAGTGGATTAGGGTTCAAAACTAACGACACAATAATCTAGCTGCGCAGTTCCCTAAGAAACTAATAATCTAAGCTAACAAGGCGAACCAACTTCTTGTTTACATCCTCTTTTACCACTTCGGGTATCGAGGGAGATTTAAGGTACTGCTGTTGTTGAATCATTTTGCCAGCAGCTATCAAGTTCAGTAAAACAGAGGCAGTGAAAAACTAGAATCCATACTGAACTGACGGATCAAAACATGTTAAGGACAGTGGATTATGACAGGAAGATAGCCGAACCCCCCCCCCCCCCCCAAAAAAAAATGGAACGATCAACTTGCACTTAAACGAATATCTCGCACAAAAAAAAAAAACGAACATCTCGCACACACACACACAAAAAAACGAACATCTCGCACAAAAACAAAACATCTCGAACAAAAACAAACATCTCGCACAAAAAGGAACATCTCGCACATAAAGGAATATCTCGCACACACACACACACACACACACACACACAAAACATTTCGCACAAAAACAAAACATCTCGAACACAAACGAACATCTCGCGCAAAAACGAAACATCTCGCACAAAAACAAAACATCTCGAACAAAAACAAACATCTCGCACAAAAACGAACATCTCGCACATAAACGAATATCTCGCACACAAAAACGATCATCTCGCACAAAAAAACAAAAACATCTCGAACAAAAACTAACATCTCGCGCAAAAACGAAACATCTCGCACAAAAAGAACATCTCGCACACAAAAAACGAACATCTCGCACAAAAACGAACATCTCGCACACACACACAAGAACGAACATCTCTCACAAAAAAGAAACATATCGCACAAAAAACGAGCATCACGCACAAAAAAGAACATCTCGCACAAAAAAATGAATATCTCGCACAAAAACGAACATCTCACACACAAACGAGCATCTCGCACAAAAACGGACATCTCGCACAAAAACGTACATCTCGCACTGAAAAGGAACATCTCGCACAAAAGCGAACATATCGCACAAAAACCAACATCTCGCACACAAAAAACGAACATATCGCACAAAAACGAACATCTCGCACAAAAACGAAACATCTCGCACAAAAAGAACATCTCGCACACAAAAAAAAGAACATCTCGCACAAAAACGAACATCTCGCACACACACAAAAGAAGGAACATCTCGCACACAAAAAAGAAACATATCGCACAAAAAACGAGCATCACGTACAAAAAAAAAATAACATCTCTCACAAAAAAATGAATATCTCGCACAAAAACGAACATCTCACACAGAAACGAGCATCTCGCACAAAAACAGACATCTCGCACGAAAACGCACATCTCGCACAAAAAGGAATATCTCGTACAAAAGCGAATATCTCGCACAAAAAAGAACATGTCGCACAAAAACGAAACATCTCGCACAAAAAACGAACATCTCGCACAAAAACGAACATCTCGCACAATAGGCAAAACTGCTCGTGGTGATCGTGTGAGATGCCGAAATAGCCTACCCTTACCAACACGGTACATGATGATGATGTTTGCTCATGATTGCTTTCTGGTGGCAAATTCGACGTTTTCGTGTGTGTTTGATTGGGAAGGTGTCTACTCTGTTGAGAACAGTGAAAATGCAAGGATACGGACATGTAAGTTCTCATATCTGCCTCTCATAAACTTCTTTTTCTTCGTCGCGTTCACTGGTTGCAAACTCGGGCGGAAAGTTCTGGTTATTTGTCCACCTCTTGACTCTAGTCTAAAACTGGCTGTCACCCAAAAATAACAATATATGATGAAGAAATTGAATATGTCACAAACTTGAATATCTAGGATCTATAAAAAACAATAATGGAGACTGTTCAACAGAAATTAAAAGGAGGATGGCCATAGCAATGCAAAGATTGAACAGCCTTAAAAGTCTATGGTTAAGCACCAGCAAGGAGATAACAATTATAATTTTGACAGCATGCATCTTCCCTGTGGCTACATACGGATGTGAGTCGTGGACTATCTCTCAGTACTTAAGAAAAAGAATAGGGGCTTTTGAGCTGAAATGCTATAGAAAGATTCTCAGAATATCTTGGACAAAGAAGATGAGAAATATTGACATCTTAAAAGACATGAACATCAAGGAAGATTGGCCAATAAACAGCATCCTGTCTCGAAAGCTGAAATATTTTGGTCATATCAAGCGCCGCGACAGATTTGAAAAAATTATAGCAAAACGCATGGTACCAGGAAGGAGGGGTAGGGGTCGACCGATACGAAGATGGGCACAGGATTTAAGTGACTCCTTGAGTATGAAAGTGCATGAGGTGGGAGAACTGGCGAGAGACCGAGTTTCTTTCAGGCAGACTGTGATGAGAGCGACGTTCTGCAAAGGACCTGGTACATGATGATGATGATGAGACTCTAGTCCTGTTCCAGAACCTGAGGTTTGCGTGTACATCCGTTTTACAGGTCTGACTCATTTGCATGCAGACTGCTGGTTCTTTGCCTCTCAAGCAGATGTACTCCGAATTAGTCGCCTCTTACGACATGCTTTTGGGCAGGCAGTTGGTCTATTCTTGTTTTTCCCCCACAATGGGACCCCGGAACCACACGGGGGTACCCTCTCTGACACTGTGAGCTACGTGTGCTTTTCGTTGGCACAGGAGCGGAGCAACTATTGGGTGACCCAGCTATGAAGCTGAAACTAGGATTACCAGATTACCCTCTTCTAAACAATACTGCATGGTTCTGGGATGAGTAAGATGGCAATAGGCCAATCAATAAAGAGTCCGTTCCAGTATATGGCTCAATGGACAGTCCTGAAAGATGTAGATACCAAGCACATAGCTTCTGACCGAAAGAGATGGAGGGAACTGACCAGACAGTCAAGACCAGCTGGCCAACTGCAAGTGATGTTATGGGACTGCGATAGTGCCGATAGCCGCTCCTTCTAGAACACAAGCACAGGCAGCAGAACAAACAGCCACACAGGCAGTAACTGTATCAGACTCCATGAACATGATTCAGAAGATACCAACCGGCCATCTGCGGTGTGAATGAGAAGAGAGCATTCAAAAATTGCACTTAACCTCCCTTACCTGGATCATCACACCTGGTCGTGCTAGCGTAAAGGGGGAGAAGCGAGCGGACCAAGTGACATGCAATGAATAAACGCATATGGGGAAACAGCATGGGTAAGAACAAATATTATCAACGCTGTACGGACTTAGCTAGTGGATAAAAATGACATCTCTGACTAACACAATTGCGTAAGATGGGAGTAAAGCATGGTGAAGCACGTTTATGACTCCTTCGAGACCGAGGGAGGAGTCATTATAGCCAACCACTCATGGCAGAATTTATAAAAAATACCTAGAAGTGGCTGCTGTATCAGAGGACTGAGCACGTATTGGAATGCATAGTGTATTGCGACTTTGAGTGCGATAACATAGCACAGCTAATTCTTGGTTGCGTCATTTCCAATAGTTCCCAAACCAGGGGAGGGCAGTCAGTATAAACCTACACATTGTTCGTCGTTGTGCACAGAGTTACAAGACTTGGTCTACAATCTAGAGGGCGCAACCGACGTCATACCTTGTTCCTTTCTGCACCGCCATCTTGAAAATAAGGAGACAATATTTTGAGTTATTTTCTGTATTTGTGAGGTTATTTTAGATCTGTAGCTGTCTGAAAGACGACAAACGTGCAATGGCACAGTACATCCAGGTAGTAGAAGATGAAAGTGACGAGCCTGTCGAAATCCCCAGTGAGTCGGACGGGACATTGCTTCTAACGACTCTTGCAGCACAGTTCCCGGGCGCGTGTGGTCTCAAATATCGCAACCCAGACACTGGAGCTTTCCGCGGCATTCGGCTTCTGGACGGCGTGCTTCATCCCCCAGATGGTGTCTGGGGCAATTACCAGTATCTGGCAGTATTCCCCAAGGGTAAGCAAATGTATTCGTTAAATGATCATCTGTGAAACATGTCTGAAACAAAATGAAAACTCATTTACTTATAAAAACCGGCGTTTTGATAGTCGTTTGAAGTTGAATTATTTAAAAAAAAAAAAAAAAAAAAACGTTTGTTTGTGAGCAATCAACGCATTTTTCATTTTATTTGAATGTATTTCAAAATTAAATGGACAGCAACAACGGTGACAAAGTAATGAGTAATAATGGCTTTTCTCACAATATTGCTAGGACAGGACATTGAACATTGCAGAACCAACCCTAACAGCCCCTGGCTGTTGTGTGGTTTTTCTAGGCAAATTTACGTCCAGTAGTTTGTCATTGTGCTTTCTGAACGGTCAACTTTCTTGATACCACTGTTGAAACCAACGCAAGTCGCATGACCCGCAGCTGGGATCGAACCCAGCATTACAAAGTTAACAAAGCGTTCGCATCGACTTAGCTACAGAGCTGACATTATTGCTAGACATTGCAATATTAATGTATGTGTATCAGCTTCCTTCATTTTATTTGCTCGTGAGTCCCAGCCATCTAGTTTAGCCCCAATCCACGCCGCATGAGCGGTGTGGGAGATACTTGTGCCGGAAGTTTGCAATTCGGCAGTGGTGTTATAGTCCCTGGAAGTGCGCAATTTACACGTGACTGAGGCCCTGTTAGGGTATATTTTCCACCTCGATAATTTAGGACCATTATTCGGAGGGTAGCTGACCTGTTTTAGTGTATGCAGTCACTAAGTCAGTCAGTTTGGGAATGAATGAAAATCACAAATTACGAAGTGATGGGACAATGGATGATTCAGTCCGAATAATTACAATATTCGGAATATTGCGAAATAATGCCATGACTGACAGAATTGTCTGGGAAAACAGCGGGTGATGTTAATTAAAATATTCAAAGCATTTCTCTAATGAATTTAAATAATGGGGACACAAACAATACATTGCTCAATTTATTGCCAGGCATATTTCGTCAGGTGCGTTACTACAGAGTTACATATACATAAAATGAAGCACAAAACTAAATAAAAATCCAACTGAAATGCGAATAGTTTCTTCCGACACACCGCATGTATTTTTCGGGGCCACCAGAAGCTCACCGTAGTCACGTGACCCTTGGACCAATGTAGGGAATCTACAAATGAGTGCTAAGAAGAAAAAATAAGTTAAGAATATCAGATAGATCAAGATCTGAGGAAAGATTCGAACAGATATGTTGCCTGACAATGCACATGAATGATAATGATGATAGTTAATTATGTGTGTGTGTAAACTATGGGAAACAACATTATTTGAAAATAATAGGCAACATAGATGAGACACATTAGTAAGAAATTACATGAACACACAATTTTAGACCCTTGCTTGACTATCATCACAAACTGCCTGGCTACCACTTTGTAGGGCAGGGATCCTGCGGATTCAAATAATGGCCATATTGCTAGTACAGCCCGCCCCCACTATGCGATTGAAGAGTATCCTTTTTAAGGAAAAATTCTCTACCTTATCAAGAATGCAGCCTGTATCTCATGAACGAGAGCTCATATTTAACCAGCAGACAACTTGGGGCGTGTCACTAGCTCTCCTCTGTTTTTCAGATATGCAGCTCTCATCAGCTACTTCAGCTGCAGCTTCTATTCCCTCTTATTTTGCAGTGATTGGGATATGTTATCTCTTGTGTCCACAGAGAACAAACGCAAGGGTGAGGATGGCTATGATAATCCAGTTGCCAAAACCAAGAGGTTAGACAGACAGAAGTGCTCAGACTTGATTGTCCTAGGTCTGCCATGGAAGAGTAATGAAGATGACCTGACCAAATATTTTCAGCAGTTTGGAGATCTCGTCTTAGTACAGGTAATGTTCCTACACATACGCTGCAGAATATATAGTAGTGTAACTGTTTTAGGGTTTTTTCCAGCAAAGATTGTATCCACTGCTGGCTTGCTGGGCGGCCTGACACAGTTTGTGGGGGGGGGGGGGAGCATTTAAGCAAATGGATACCACACTGCCTGGCAAGCCAGAGCCTCATTAACCTGTCAGAAAGAAACAAAACAGAACAGATTGTATGTTTAGACATGTATCAAAACTACCAGAAGATAGGGCAGTAGAGAGAGCCCTGTTACCTAGCCACAATTTATAGGTTGTCTGATGAGACATCAGCAGAGCACACACTAAGACTTGCAACAAATAACCTCTTCACACCCTGACACTGACAGGCAGAACAGGGCTAGAGAAGAAGAATGTAACCACATTAACATACAGCTTCAGCATTTGCAGAACGAAAACAAATTTCAAGTTAAGAATTTTGCACATGCAGCCTACCATTTTCTTCTTTGTTCTTCTTGGCGTTCACCAGCTGTTAACTCGGGCTGAAAACTCTGGTTATTCATCCACTTTTGGACTGCAGTCCAGTTCCAGAACCCAAGTGTTGCATGCACTTCCGTTTTATAGATCTGACTAATTTGTATGCAGACCGCTGGTTCCTTGCCTCTCAGGCAGATACACTCTGACTTGAAGGAAGCTCCCAATGAATCGACTCTTACAACATGCTTTTTGGTAGGCAGTGGGTCTGTTCTTGTTTTTTCTATTATAGGGTCCCAAAACCCACATGTGGAGGTTAGCAGCCTACCATGGATAGGCTGCCAGAATTGACACTACCAGCTGCAGCTGTAATTGACACTACCAGCTGCAGCTGTAATTGACACTATTAGCTGCAGCTGTAATTGAGTAAACAACTGTGTTACAACTGAAATTAATAATCAGGTCAGAAGAGAATGAAAAACAAGAGAGAAGCTGTGAAAACCAAAGCTACCAAGGAGATATCAGCTTCATGAAAAAGAGCCCCAGAAAAACAAAGAAGATTACCACACACAAAAATCTGCAACAAATATATATGCTTTCCTTGCTTGTATCCAGGTGAAGCGAGACATTAAAACTGGACAGTCAAAAGGTTTTGGGTTCATCCGCTTTGTCAACTATGAGTCTCAGGTGAAGTGCTGTTCCCAGCGACACATGATTGACGGCAGATGGTGTGATGTGACGATACCTAACTCTAAGGTAAGACACAGGTACATCTTTGTATTCTGCTTGATCTCTGCGGCCAGGAAGTGCTGAAGACTCATGTCTATGAAGAGTTATATCAGTTTGGGAAAGACGGAGCACTGCCTGTCTGTATTTTCAGTCTCTGTCTAGATCAAATATTAATTTGTTGGTTTAAGTTTGATTGAAAGAAAATTGTTGGCTAATTTTATTTTGCCCTTTACAATACAAGTAATATATCCTAGTTGTATATAGGGTATAAACTATATAAAATAAGAATAGATTCTATTTAATTTGTCTGGGGGAAGTTTTCCAGCTGTTATTGAAGCAGTCTATAGTATTTCTTTGCATTTACAAATGTAATATCTTATAGAGGATACAAGCTCCTACTCCTGTAGACAAAACATCTGAGACGTTGGGCGGGAGGAGGGGTGTGGCGGAGAGAACTTGTAATGTCACCGTGGCATATCCTTATGTGTTCCAGGGCCCAGTTTTTGGAAAAAGAATAGACTCACTGGTCCCTGTCAAGCCTCTTGTGCGAGTCAACTAATTAGGTCGGTTCCTTTGAAGTTGGGGTACATCTGCCTGAGAGGCGAGGAGCCAACAGTCTGCATACAAATAAGCCAGGTCTGTAAAAGAGACGAGAGACTAGCATCTACAACTATTCTTTCCTTCCCTTGCTCAATGTTGGTTTATTGCTTGTGATAAACAGTTCAGAAAAACTTGTGCTTTCATCTCATACTAAGCTTGCTGGCACTTTTTTTGAATACTTAAATACTTCTTTCTATCCTTTTGTGTATTGATAAATTAGTAGTTTGTTTTTTTCAAAACATTTTTATTTTAAATTCTTATTTTCATGCCTTTTTTAAAACTGGCTCAAAGTCTGCAAAAAAAACCACTAGACATGTCGAGCAAGCCCCCCTCCTCCCCGATATAATCCTAGCCACTATATATGTGCTGTGCTGAATAACGGTCTGGGTGCATCTTAGATTGCCTCTCAGTTGATGCAAAGTTAGAGCAACAGTTTTGCACACCCTGCTAGTTTCTGGCCTTTGAGAGGAAATGTGAACTCATATCATTCTCAAGATATGTTGTTCTGGTACCTGTACGGAGAGACAAGCACAACAGATGGCCTTTTCGGGAGTTTTGCCAGTGTATCGCTCATTTTAAACTTCAGCGGATCCACCATCAACCAATCAATCACATTAAAAGAATCAACCTTTATTGTGGAGAGGGCACATGACTGATTGATCATAACAATCAGACATAAGTGTTTAGTTATTGATTCCAAGTTTGTTTTCATAATTGTTATATTTTTAGCTACATATCTTGTTTCGGTGCCGAAAGGGGTAAGGCTAAAGCAACACACAAAGTCCGCTAATAATTGTATGCTTCACCTAGAGAATAATATTATTGTGAAGACTTGTGTATTATCTTACAGTTGAGTTAGGGTGTGTGTATGTGGTGCAGCTGTGTTGTACATTGTTAAGTGGTATGTGTGTGTGTGCCTGCAAATAATTACCTTGTGTGAAATGTGTGAGGCAGTGAATGGGAAACATGAATATGTGTACTGTGTATAATCTGTAAGGAAGGTAGACAAACGTAGCAGTGTGTACGTTTTGTGAAATGCAGGAATGTTGGTGTGTTTGGGAGTTCAGGTAACATGGATGTGGCTGATTATATGTCTGCTGTGTGTGAGAGAGAACCCCTTATAAAGAGATACAAGGATAACATAGTGTATGGTAGATGTGTGTGTTACCTTTCTATCAGATATGAGTATGGAAACTAGCAAATATTTGAATTTGTTGTGTGAATGGGATGTTGTATGGCTGCTTCTTTCCCAGTAGGAATTGTGCTTTCTAACATGACAGATAGGTGTAACTGTCTTGGGTTGTGTTAACACACACAATTTCACACAGGCAGACCAATATAAGAATTTACATCATTTTAAAACCTATTGCAGCTTAAACCTTTTTTTGTTGTTGCCTTTTTGTGTACCCTTGATGTTGGTCAGATCTGCAGCTGATAGGTGTCAGTAAACAGAACTGACTGAAGAGATTTTTGACCTAAGTGGATACTTGGACACTGATGTACTTTTATTTTTGCCTGTTTGTTACAAATGTGAAGTATTTCCTCCCTTTATGTTTATAGACACCACATCATGCTGTCTGTAATAATAGGGGTGCTATTGTAACAAGCCAAACATATTTTCTTCTCTTGTTACATTTGTTGCCGGATTATCTCCTGATATATCCATTATATTCAGCACTTTGCTTTAATGGTTGTTAGACCCAGTTGATATCACAAATGTGTTGTATATACAGTGTAAAGAGGAATCCGCAGCAAGGAGGTCCTTGGGCTTGATAGATGGAAAGGGATCGGCCTGCTTATTTATATGTAAAGGGATCAGCACACTAATTTTGATAGAAACAGATTGGCCCACTGATATCAGTGTGTCGGGGTCAAACCAGCAATGTAACCAGGCTGAAAGGTGTCTAGGATTTAAAAAAAAACATGAGGTCCAAGGATGTTGTCAGATTAATGATGGGAAACACAACAACAATTCTGAGCAAACTCAGCAGCATTCTTGATTGGTGGTTTAAAACATAGAGTAGTAATAGTGTATATTCTGATGTTGATAATTAAACAGGACATGTGTGTATCTGCCCCACTAGTCAACTTGTCTGCTGACATGAATAGGACAATACTGCAGTCAGAAATATTTTACTAGCTCAAATAGTCATCCTGTATTTTGTATGTATTTACTGATGTTCATGACCGTCAGCGATATTTGTGCCCTTGTTTCTCTTTGAAATGTGAATATAGATAATAATATGTAGAGACTTGATCAGCTGCTCTGTCCTCCTTATCGGTGAAATATGTGTAGATAAAGAAATCTATTAAAAACCATTTTTTAGATCTTATTTAACGATAGTTAACTACAGTGAAATATGTTTTCTACACTGTTTTTAGTAATAGTATAATCTTATGCTATTGTCACTGAAGATATTGCAAATTAGCATTATTCTTCTGTGCAATTTATAGTGAAAAACAGGTTAAAAAAATGGTCTGAATTGTGATAAGACAGAAAGTGTGCCCTGGCTATTCCAAGAGGGTCCTCCTTGTTTAATGGTGCGCTGGAAGGAAAATCTGTAGGATTAACAAAGAGACTATTACAACCGCACCATGAACTACACCTGCAGTATGAATATGATTACCTGTTAAGAATGATAATTGTGTGACAAGTGGCACAGGGATCAGGTTGCCAGCCTCAGACATCAGAAAATCTGTCCTAATGCAAGGGGTTAAAAACAAATCTGTGTGAGGCCACATTAAATAGGTGTCGTTGGCCTGAGTCTGACCACAAAGGAAGTTTCTCAGCAAGCACCAGAAGATTCTAGTGCATGTGTTGATGCACAACCTCAGCATAACTGATGTTGCCGCCACCAGCCTGTGACTGTTGTTTAGCATAGAGCTATGTTAGTAGACTGATGTCCCAACAAACACCAAGAGATTATGTTCCAACACTTACAGCACCACGATGACAGATCCTCCTCCTCCACCTCCTCCTACCAGCAAGGCTACAACTTTGCTCCCTACACTAGTTCAGGCTCCAGCAACTTTACTTTTGGCTCCAGCTATGGATCTGAAGGAAGCTATCAGGTTTGTAAGATTACTATTCTCACTGCTATGCCTTGTTCAGACCTACAGCTGTGTGTTAAAGGCCAGCCTAGCCAGTTATTTTAAGTTGCACACCTTATTTTATATTTATTTTATCTTTCCAGCTACAACTAGCATCTAAACGTTAATTCAGATTTATTTCTTATAAACTTATATAATTAATAGCATTGCAATTATGACTGCTGATTTAGCAATTATTTAGAAGTAACACATCTGCCAACCTGAATTTTAAATGAGAGACAAAAGCACTTCCTCATTTAGTTCTTATGACCAGTAAAACTAAGTACTGTATAGCAGTTGATACACATTTTTTGTTGTTCTGTTTTTACCTTCTTTAAGTACACATGCATTTAGTAGTTGGCCACTGCAGTGGTTGTCATTAATTTATCAAAGCTAAGTATTTTTACTTCTTCTACCCATTGTGCTATATTCTTTGTGAATCTGTTCATTGGTTGTTGGTTTCTTTTCTTAACCACTGTGTGCTTGACTGGAGCCTTTGTTGAAAGTCATAAGTAGAGATGGTGGACTGCAGTAAAGACTACACAGCATACAGTGTGATTGTTAAATATGTGCTGACTGGTGTTCTCTGTTAAACAGAACAGACATTGGTAGTGTAACTGCTCATTGCTTATGTGTTGGGTAAGGTGCTGTTCTGTCATGTTGATGATTCTGCACAATAGAAGGCAGAAGATCAGGTATTCTGACTGGATATGTTTCGCAGGCTTCTGGTGTTTAAACTGTTCTACATGCGGTTTGTTAGGCTTGTCATTGTGCTGTGTTTGGGTTTAAGTTACGGATCTCTCCATTGGTTGCCATTTTTGTTTGTGTGTTGAAGTTAAAGAATGTAGATATCTCCATTGATTGGTAGTTTGTTGTGTCAAAGTTATAGAGTGTAGATATCTCCACTGGTTGGTTGTGTTGATTATGGAATGTTGATATCTCCACTGGTTGCCAGTTGTTTGTTGTGTTGATTATGAAATGTTGATCTTTCCACTGGTTGCCAGTTGTTTGTTGTGTTGAGATTATGGAATGTTGATCTCTCCACTGGTTGCCAGTTGTTTGTTGTGTTGAGATTATGGAATGTTGATATCTCCACTGGTTGGCAGTTGTTGTGTTGAGATTATGGAATGTTGATATCTCCACTGGTTGGCAGTTGTTGTGTTGAGATTATGGAATGTTGATATTTCCACTGGTTGGCAGTTGTTATGTTGAGATATGGAATTTTGATATCTCCACTGATTGGCAGTTGTTTTTTGTATATTTAAATGCTATTGTGATGATAGTATAGATTGGTGAATGGTAATAATGATGTGTACAGGGTAATTGTTGCACTATGTGAGTTTGATTCTGTTGTGAGGGTAGTGGTAATTGCTTAATTAAGAAAATATTGGATATGAGTGGATCATGAAGAATGTGTGAATTGTATAATATAATATAGTGAACTTTAAGGATGATTGTAAACTGTTGAGTTGTGTGAGGATTGTAAACTGTTGAGTTGTAAGGCTGGTGTAACTGGTGAATGGAAAGGATAATGTTAGCTGGGGATTTGAATAGAGAGTATGTTAATTTATTGAAATGCTGAACCAGGGCTATGTTGTCAAATAAGAAAATACAACTGAGTTATGAATTGTAAAGTTGTAATTTTGAATATGACAGCTGTGCCGTGTAAATTTATGAATTTGCTTGCTTTAGGGTAGATGCTCAACAAATGTTTTAAATCAGGTACTTCTGAAATGTGTAGAAAATATTGTTGCTATGTAGAACTGATGTGATATGGTCAACCAAGTCGTGATCGTTGGTCATGGATCATATCTGTGCCTTTTGGCCAAACACATCCAATTTTGGCAAATCCTAATTAGTTACCTTATATGACAGGCTTGATAAGGAAATAGCCATTGGAACCCGTATGAGAAAGACACTGATTTATAATTGTCCTTCTCATCGCAAGTAAAAGTTTTGTCTACAATATTTGTAACCTTGTCAGAGGCTGTTTCTTGAATACCATGGCCATCTGTTGTTGTCTACATCTGAACATTCCTGTACATATTGACTGGCTTGAGACTACTCTCCTACTGTTTTAATGTTGCATTGTCGGTGATCAGTTGTCTCAGTAACTGTCTGTGTAATCTTGTATCTTGTTCTCCGCAGTGCTGCCCTGTCCACAGGATTGGCTGTTTCTGGATGTTCTGTACATATCATCTATTTCTGCTTCTATTCTTCTTCTTCTGAGTGTCCACCAGCGGGAAAGTCAGGTTACCTATCCACTTGTGGCCTTTGGCCTTGTACCAGATAGCGAAGCCCTGGAATCTACACAGGGATCTGATTTTAATATTAGTGGTCGTTGACATTGTCTATGTCATTGTGATCTGCCAGCTTCATCACGTAACTCTTGCTTGTTGCTATGTCACTATTGCTGCCAGTGGTCAGTCACTATTGCAGCCAGTGGTCAGTCACTATTGCAGCCAGTGGTCAGTCACTATTGCAGCCAGTGGTCAGTCACTATTGCAGCCAATGGTCAGTCACTATTGCAGCCAGTGGTCAGTCACTATTGCAGCCAGTGGTCACTGTTGCAGCCAGTGGTCACTATTGCCGCCAGTGGTCACTATTGCTGCCAGTGGTCACTATTGCAGCCAGCTGCTGACTTTGTTATTTTAAAATAACCTAATCACAGGTTTATATAATGCACTTAGTGAAAATTCTGCCAAGTGCCCATATATGTAAATTAAACATTTTCATCTGCCAGGAGGGAAACAATCAAATGATGAACCGCAAAGTTTTCATTGGCCGCGTCACAGAAGACATTAGCGCTGAAGATTTACGCAACTATTTCAACAAGTATGGGGAGGTTGTGGACGTCTTCATTCCCAAGCCATACCGTGCATTTGCCTTTGTCACCTTCGCTGATGCCGAAACGGCCCAGTCTCTGTGTGGAGAGGACCACATCATCAAAGGTGCCAGCGTTCATGTGAGCAGCGCGGCTCCAAAGTCGTTTGATAAGGTCAGTCAGTAGCATAGCATCTTTTAGTTGTTGCTCTAGTTTGATGCCAGTCGGAAGGATGGTGTGTGTTACAGGAATATTCTACAGTTTTACTTTGTGGGGATTGAGACTGGGCATCCATGGGTTTTAATCTGAGTGCTGTATGCGATGCCGGTTTGTTGTGAAACAACTCTGCCTTCTCTACCCCAGTGGTAAATGTTGGCTAAATCCTTGTGATTCACAAACTTTATTGAACATACACCTCTGCCAAGGTCACACACAGTTTTTTGTCCCAGCCATCAGTTGTTTCTTGTCTGAGTATCTGTTTCTTTAACTCTTAGAGTCCCAAACAACGCATGATGTGTGAATCACTCTATCTGCTGAACCTTATCCCTAGCTTAATATGTTCTCTTACTCTTTGTTTGGTCAGAACATAATCTAGAAATCTGGCTTATCAAATGCCACTACTACTGTTATTTTACTATTTTGAAAGTAATGCATTGTTAACTTTTAATCATGGATGTGTCTTCTTTGGCATCTTCTACTAAACCTTCTGGTACTAAAAGAGTAAAAGCATTCAATATGTGTCTTGTTCTCAACTGTTTAACAACATTAAAGTTACATTTAGTTTGTTTACAAAGTATCACAATTGGTAGAGGCCATGTGCAACCAGTATCCTCCAAGCTAAATATCAAAATGAGATAAGGGCTGACACCAAAATAATCAGCCTTCCTTTGAGCTGTTTGTTATACGTTATCTAGGGCTTGCAGTCTAGTCCCCATTCCATTCTGTGCTGTCCTCTGGTTTACCCTGCGTGAACAAACCAGAACTTTCCACTACAGTTTACAGCCAGTGAACAGTAAGAAGAAGAGAACAGAGTGTGGGTTGTGTGTGGGTCATGGTGTGGAAGGAGACTGGGACACCTGCTGAGGAATCCTTTTTGCAGTTAATGCAAACAACAAATCCAACCAAAGAGACTGAAAACGCAAAGCCCTTGTCCTATGTTTAAACATGACAGTTATCTCACTAGATGACATGACTGTTGTCTTACTAGATAACATGACAATTATCTCACTAGATGACATAACATGACAGTTATCTGACAAGATGACAGAAAACACAAAGCCCTTGTCCTGTGCTCAGTCTCAGCATGACAGTCATTTCACAAGATGACATCCCTATGTGGGTTCCGGGGCTCCACTTTAGGGGACACAAGAATAGACCCTCTGGCCCCCTAACAAGCATATCAATCAAGTCCACTAATCAGGAATGTTTCCTTTAACCCACTGACTACCAAGCCCATTAACCCTTGCATTTCCCCAGATACTACGTATTTTGGTGTTTACTAAAAATGCCATAGCTTCACAACTATTTGATATAATCTCACAATATTTTGTATTTTTGCACCAAACTGAATGAAGAACAAATTTCAAGAAAAAAAAGTTGTTTATTTTGTTTTGCATCATCATCATGTGGCTGTAGATTAGTGCAAAAAAGGCAACCGAAAAATCTTTTATCTGACAACAATAAAGACATAAAAATGTCTTATTTTCAAAAAATATTTAACAAAAATGTATATTTTGTATTTTTTGCACAAAATTAAACCAAGAACCCATTTAAAGAAAATAAAAATAAGGTTTACTCTGACATAGTCATCATCATCATCATGTGGCTGTAGATTGTTGCAAAAAAGGCAACTGAAAATCTTTTATCTGACAATAAAGACTGATAGTGATGATTTTTTTTCAAAAATATTCAACAAACATATATTACATTTTGTATTTTTGCACAAAATTGAATCGAGAACAATGTGAAGACAAAAAATGGGGTTTACTTTGTCTGCCATAATCATCATCATCATGTGGCTGTAGATTGTTGCAAAAAAGGCAACTGAAAAATCCTTTATCTGACAATAATTCAGGCTCCCAAAAAATGTCACAGCTTCACAACTGTTCAGTATCACTTATCCTATCTGATATTGTTTGCACCAAATTAGATGGATAACAAATATCAAGACATATGTAGATTTACAGTTTTATATCATCATCATGTGGCTGTAGATATGGTGCTGAAAAGGCAACAGACAAATCTGTTATCTGACAGCAATATATAGAAAATGCCCCCGTGACGTGATGGTGGCAGCAAATGATGAGTGGATAGATGGATATAGACTCCGGTAGTCTGAAATAGACGGCTTTTTCACAACACATGACGCTACAGTACAAGAAACCATGTTACTTCATTTGGGGTTGTGTGTTTCCAGTTCTTGGGAAAACAGGTGTCTGGTTTCGCACCAATCTTTGCCTCAGCATAACGGTTTGTTTCTTTAGCAAACACAGCCAGAATTTCTTTACTGAAGAAAATATTCAGTGGTTCATTTGTTCCTGCTGGCAGAAATAAACCAAAAGTGCCAGTAAATGGGGGTACTCCAGGAAAGCCTTCTAAATCACAATGCCAGTCATCAACCATGGGGGGGGGGGTGGCACATCTTTCCCGGACTCGTCAGATGATGACAATTCTGAATCAAAAGCGGCAATGATATCTTCGTCATGTGCAGACTCACTAATCTTTATTATCTGTGGGCTTTGACTGAATACTCTTACAAGAACTATCAGCATCATAAACTGCGGCACCAGTACTTGCAGCCGACAACAGACTTGACTTGGAAGCTTCATACTGTCGTTTTACAGTCGACGATGTTTTGACTTCGTTAAATTTATTATAGTCATAGCCATCAAACTGTTCAGAAGTGTCTTCAAATTCACTTTTTGAAGCAAAATCAAGAAATCGAATGCATCATTAGAAAAATTAGGAGAGATATGGCCACCACGATGGTTCCGATAATTTGAGCCCATGATGAATTTTTCGTCAATGTCTCACCGTCATGGGAGCTAACTAAGACAATTCGTCAAATATTTACTTCAAGCACTACGAAGTTATTTCCCTTAATTAACCATACTGAAATGAATAAGCTAGAGGTTTCAACTAAATCCATCATAAAAATCGTGATTTTAACATGACGGCGAGCGTCCAAAGCTAAAATCGCAAAGCGTGCGACGTTGGCAGAAGGAAGTAAACGTTGCCTCGTCGCATAAAGTGCAACGTTGGTAGTCAGTGGGTTAAAGTCGAAATGCATCTCCTCAAGCGACGAAGAGCTTATAAATGAACCAGATATGTAAAACAGGTGTGCACGCACAACTCAAGTTCTGGTTCAATAAGTGAACGTAGGACAACAGCATATTGCTGGTTTATACCCTGTCAACACTAAGAATAAGAGCACATGATGACAACAATACTTGCTGTTGGTCCATTTTCATGCCTTTTTTTGTGTGTCTTTGCAGGGAATGGAGCGTAAAGGTTTTGCACAAGGTGGAGGAGGTGCTGGTGGGGGTGGTGGTGGATACAGCCAAGGTGGAGGCTGGGGGCAGGGACGAGGGGCCCCTGGACCTGTCGGTGGCGGCGGCGGTGGTAAGATAGCCAATGGATCTGAGCAGATGGGGGGCAATCTTGGCATGAACCTACTCAACTCTGCTATGCTTGCTGCAGCACAAGCCATGCTTCAGAACCAGGGGGCCTGGGGAGGTATGAACCAGGGCCCTGCTCCGGGAGGCACTGGGGGTAATATGGGGGGCGGGGATCACCAGCCTCCCCCGGCCATGGCCAGCCAAGGTGGGTTTAGTAGTATGGGGGCAGGCACAGGTGGAGGGGGTAGCGGTGGAAATTGGTGGGGCAATGAGGCCAGTACCACATCAGGTGGGCACTATGGCGGCGGCGGCTGGGGTGGTTCCCATGGTGGAAGGGGCAGCGCAGGCTGGAGTTAGGTTGAAAGATGCAGTGAATGAGCGGTAAATGAAACGAACAAGAAACCGGGTGTGTGTTGGAGAGGATTGGACAGTTGGTGTATAAGTGGAGCAGAAGCAGGCATGTCAACAATTGGATAACAAAGTTTACTGAATACAGTTTGTGGGTGTTTTATTTTTATTTTCCGTCAGACATTTCAGTAGTTTTTCAATCATAACTCAAATGATGACGTGGCAGTCGGTACATTGTGCAGACACTAGAGACTTCCAAATTGATCTGTTAGAGCTGGGGTCAGAATATGTTAAATTCATTGAACTATTGTTATTTTAAAAGCAAATGGATTCAGTTCCTCCTCCTTTTATATTCAGAATTACTCGGGATAGTTTTTAAAATTTCATTGAACTTTTTGTCTTAAACTTGTGATTAGTGGGGGTATGTTTAGCTTTAGGCTTGATTAGTAGGGAGTATGTTTAGCTTTAGGCTACATACGTATTATTACATTATTTTCTTTAGTATACTATCAAGTATATAGCGGAGACTAACGGAGGAAACAGACACGAACAGATTCTAATGGATGTGCACCACCATATGACTATAACATTGAGCTGAATGAACACCTTCTGAGCAAACCTGCAGGAGTTGTCTGCTGTATGTTTACAGTTGGGAACATAATGATGCTGATTGTTTTCCCATGAGTAGTAGGTTCATTGTACATAATATCATTGTCCTTTAGTGCTGAACATCTTTCCTGGATGCTGTAGTTTCTTTCATTTGTTTCTTCCTCTTGTCTGTTTTCGGTGGGTGGCATAATGAAGTTTGTGTTACCTGTATCACTTTTAAACAACGCCTCGTTTCATGTCTGACACGTATGCATTGTTAGGCTGATTTGTTTCATAGTTTAGCAGTTTCTTTTAAAGCATGTTTTGTCATACCCATTGTTGATATTTTTTAACTTTTGCACTTAATCTGTGTTTTTGGTTGCTTGTTCATCCAGTATTTAGTATGGTTTTTTTTTTTTTTTTTTACATTGAGCCCCTGCAAGGAAGTGCTGGAGGTTATAGTTGTATCTGTTTTGTGTACACAAATGTGGAGAGTTTGGGTTGCTTGATTGATTGCTCGATTCAGTGATTCTGTCAGATAAGATTGGAAGTTGGTTCAAGACGGCACGGTGAGTTTGACAATGATGAACAACTAATGTAGCGATTGTACCATTTGTGGTGTGGTATGAGCAGTAATACTCGAAAGGCAGATTAAATGTGTCCGCTGCGTTTACTATCGTGTGACCTGGGATTTGTTAGTTTGTGGAAAGTCAGCTGATAGTGTTGAATCTTTTCACATTTGCGGAGTGACATGGTTTGAACCGAGTTCTGAGAGCCAGATTTTGGAAGAGATCTGTGTTTGGCATGGTCGCCCAAAGTAAATGACATGAGTATGTGGACGATGTGAAGGCCATTTAAGACACCTAAAAACATGATACAAGCTTATGAAGATATCTTACAGTAACTATAATACAGCTCACATATATTGACTAAAAAGTAACAAATCCCATTGCAAACTGCTTACAAGAAAGGCAGGCGAAAGGTTAATCAAGCAATCCTGAACCACCATATATTTATTTTGACATCTTTTTGTTTTTCCCTCGTCTCAACTTGGGGATATGTTATTAAACAGATGTCCCAGAGACAGTCTGGGTAGGTTTTGTATGTTTGAAACATTTCAAACTTTACCAAGCTTAGTTCAGCTTCTGTTGTCTGCGCGTTTCCCATTTGGGACACATATACGTCAGTGCATGTTTAACTGTTGTGTTTGAAAAAAAAAGACAAAAACATTAAATGGTCTTCATATATTGTGAGGCTGTGTTTGAGCGAGTCCTTTTCTTCGTGTGTTTGTGTGTGTACATCAGCAGAAATCTGAAGATAACAGAGAGAGACCTGGTTATCTGTGAGAGGCCTGATTCAGCAGTGTCTGTTTTATTGAAGCCTGGTACAACAGAAGTAAGGTTGTCTGTGAGAGGCCTGATTCAGCAGTGTCTGTTTTGATTGAAACCTGGTACAACAGAAGTAAGGTTATCTGTGAGAGGCCTGATTCAGCAGTGTCAGTTTTGATTGAAACCTGGTACAACAGAAGTAAGGTTATCTGAAAGAGGCCTGATTCAGCAGTGTCTGTTTTGATTGAAACCTGGTACAACAGAAGTAAGGTTATCTGTGAGAGGCCTGATTCAGCAGTGTCTGTTTTAATTAAAGCCTGGTACAACAGAAGTAAGGTTATCTGTGAGAGGCCTGATTCAGCAGTAGTAAGGTTGTCTGTGAGAGGCCTGATTCAGCAGTGTCTGTTTTGATTGAAACCTGGTACAACAGAAGTAAGGTTATCTGAGAGAGGCCTGATTCAGCAGTGTCTGTTTTGATTGAAACCTGGTACAACAGAAGTAAGGTTGTCTGTGAGAGGCCTGATTCAGCAGAAGTAAGGTTATCTGAGAGAGGCCTGATTCAGCAGTAGTAAGGTTGTCTGTGAGAGGCCTGATTCAGCAGTAGTAAGGTTGTCTGTGAGAGGCCTGATTCAGCAGTAGTAAGGTTGTCTGTGAGAGGCCTGATTCAGCAGTAGTAAGGTTATCTGAGAGAGGCCTGATTCAGCAGTGTCTGTTCTGATTGAAACCTGGTACAACAGAAGTAAGGTTGTCTGTGAGAGGCCTGATTCAGCAGTGTCTGTTTTAATTAAAGCCTGGCTTATACGAATTATAGTCTGTCTGAGAGGAGAGAACACGTGTTTTAAATTACTGCTACAGTGATATCATTAGAGTCAGCACACAAACAACTATCTACACACACACAGTATAAAAAGGCAACAACAAAAAAAGAATATGGATATTAACATATAGAGCGGTCTGAAAATGAAATATTTAAAAACTAAAAACTCAAGCCACTGTGTTACTATGTGGGTTCTGGGGTCCCATTAGGGGGAGAACAAAGAATAGACCCCTGCCTCTCTTAAAAAAGCATGTTGTAGGAGGTGACTGGTGAGAGGTGTTCCCATTCAAGTAGGAGGGCATCTATCTGAGGTTGGGACCCAGCAGTCTGATTTCAGTTGAGCCAGATCTGTAAAACGGATGTGGATGTAAAACTCAGATTCTAGAAGGAGACTAAAGTCTAGAATTGGATGAACTTTCAAACTTTCAACTAGTAAATGTAAGGAGACAAAGCTGCACTGTGGATTGTATGGCATTGACTAACCATTCCATGGGCAGATTTTTGCTAGCAGTCTTTGGAAGTTAAAGCTGCGAAAGTGACATGTAAGCCTTAACGTAAAGATCCCTTTTCACACCCTTAAACGCATATGGGAAGAGCACCCATATTTTTATGGAACGGTTGGAATTTGGTGGGTAATGTCAACATTATGCCGGCCGTCTTTACCTCCCCAGGACATCCATCCTGGGTACCCATTTAAGGCTGGGTCGATCTGCAACACCCCATATGATAAAAGGCAACTAAAGACATGGAAGCCGGTCATACGCAAATCAAAATTCCTGCATCAGAAACAATCAGTATTTTTCTGGCATCATTGTGACAGAAATGTTCAATCTTGAGATTAGTCCAATTAGCTGCCTTCCAAACAATTCATAGACTGACAGATTACATCAAATGTCCTCAGCAAAAATGGACAAACAACTGTTATATAGTGTCCCTTCAGTTCTTTACATGATAGAATAGTAGATCTTTGGTGAGTTAAAATAAACATACATTTGTAGATTTTTGGTAATTAAAAACATAAAATCACCAACAAAGAACGAGACAACATGTACTGGTGATGGTTAGTTAGTTAATGACTTTGCAACTTGCGTGATGTGGTGAGCGTATATGAGAGCTTCAGGGAGCTTTGGGAGAAATACTTTAATATGAAAGACACTGATTGTAAAATAGTGTATGATTTTCCTGCAGAGAGAAAAAAAATTGAGTAGATTTGATAGGAGAAACTTTTGATTTACTTGCCAAAAACTGAGTGAAGATTTAATAGCCTAACGTGTGGATTTACTTCATGGCAGTAACTGAGTGTGAATTTACTTGATAGCAGAAACTGAGTGTAGATTGACTTTATAGCAGAAACTAGTGTAGATTCACTTTATGGCAGAAAGTCTGGATTTACTTCTTGGCAGAAACTGAGTGTAGATTTACTTTATGGCAGAAAGTGTGGATTTACTTCATGACAGAAACTGAGTGCAGATTTACTTTATGGCAGAAACTAAGTGTAGATTTACTTTATGGCAGAAACTGAGTGTAGATTTACTTCATGGCAGAAACTGCGTGAAGGTTTGATGGCAGAAAGTGTGGATTTACTTCATGGAGGAAACTGGGTGTAGATTTAATTGATGGCAGAAACTGAGTGTAGATTTACTTAATGGCAGAAACTGAGTGCAGATTTACTTGATGGCAGAAACAGTGCAGATTTACTTGATGGCAGAAACTGAGTGTAGGTTTACTTGATGGCAGAAACTGAGTGTAGGTTTACTTGATGACAGAAAGTGTGGATTTACTTCATGTCAGAAACTGAGTGTTAAGTTTACTTGATGGCAGAAAGTGTGGATTTACTTCATGTCAGAAACTGAGTGTAGGTTTACTTGATGGCAGAAACTGAGTGCAGATTTACTTGATGGCAGAAACTGAGTGTAGGTTTACTTGATGGCAGAAACTGAGTGTAGGTTTACTTGATGGCAGAAACTGAGTGTAGGTTTACTTGATGGCAGAAACTGAGTGTAGGTTTACTTGATGGCAGAAACTGAGTGTAGGTTTACTTGATGGCGAAACTGAGTGCAGATTTACTTCATGGCAGAAACTGAGTGTAGATTTACTTCATGGCAGAAACTGAGTGCAGATTTACTTGATGGCAGAAATTGAGTGTAGGTTTGCTTGATGACAGAAAGTGTGGATTTACTTCATGTCAGAAACTGAGTGTAGGTTTACTTGATGGCAGAAACAAAGTGTAGGTTTACTTAATGGCAGAAACTGAGTGGATTTACTTAATGGCAGTAAGTATGGATTTACTTAATGGCAGAAACTAAGTGTAGGTTTACTTGATAGCAGTAAGTATGGATTTACTTCATGGCAGAAACTGAGTGTGGATTTACTTAATGGCAGAAACGGAGGGTAGGTTTACTTGATGGCAGAAACTGAATGCAGATTTACACGGTGTCAGAAACTAGATTTCCTTGATAGCAGATACTAGATTTACCTGATAGCGGAAGGAGTGTAGATTTACATAATAGCATGATACTAGATTTACTTGATGGTAGAAACTGAATGGAGATTTGTACCTGTTGGGAGAAACATAGTTTAGGTTTGTTTACCTGATGGTAGAAACTTGAGTGGAGATTTACCTAGTAGCAGAAACTGAGTGCAGATTTACCTGATGGCAGAAACTGAATGCAGATTTACCAAATGGCAGAATATAAGTGTAGAAATACTTGGTGGCAGAAACTGAGTGTAATGACATAATCTGAATGTAGATATACTTGATGGCAGAAACAGTGTAGATTTACTTGAAGGCAGAGACTTTGAGTATAGGTTTTCCTGATGGCAGAAACTGAATGTAGATTTTTACCTGATGGCAGAAACTGAATGTAGACTTTTACCTGATGGCAGAAACTCAATGTAGACTTTTACCTGATGGCAAAATCTGAGTGTAAATTTATACGATGACCGAAACTAAGTGTATGTTTACATTATCACATAAACAGTGTAGATTTGCGTGATGGCAGAAGCTGTGTCAGAGAAGAAAATATCCCTCCCCAGGAGAGATGTAATGATAAAAGTACTAAATGCCTAATACTGTTGTGGCTGAATGGGGTAAAATGATCATGTGCGGCGTGTTTTTGGAAAAGCCTGATGCTGGTTTCGCGAGATTCTGATGCAGACATTTTTGCTGAGTGCTTCTAGCGGTGCTGTGTGCTAGTTTATCGGTTGTGTGGAGTACATAGCTGTCTCTGACAGGGTGCAAGATTTCACTGAAACAAGGCTTGAAGAGGAGCATACATGGATGAAGGCAGCGTGGAAGAAATGGCACAAATGTTGTAGCTTACTTTGTGAGACTATATGAAAACATGACAAGTATATCCTTGCAGCTGGTACCCTGAGCTGGAGAGATGGAGCTGTGCAGTGAATATCCTGTGCTAGTTTTCACAATTGATGGGTAAGTATGAAAGGTAAGTTATCAGTGAAATAATTCTGGGTTATCTAGGGTCTTTGATTACAGATGGAAAGAAACAAAATAATGCAAGCAAAGACAGCATCCCACCAGATCAAGAATATCCATCCATGGAAGTGAGAAAACAAGATTTAGGGTGCCATGTATTGTCCTATCTAAAGTTAGCTGCGTATCGTTTACATTATATTGCAGAACCAACCCCAGCATTTTTTGGCTGTTGTGGTTTTTCTAGGTAAATTTTATGTTCAGTAGTTTGTCATTGCATTCTGAACGGTCACTGACAGTACCACTGTCAAAACCAATGCAAGAGAAACTGCAGCTAAGATTGAACCCAGGACAACAAAGTGACTTCGCCACAGACTGATTCTTCTTCTTCGTTCACCGGCTGTGAATTCTGGCGGAAGGTTAATCGTCAGCTTAGACTTTTGGCTTTTACCTGGACCTGAGTTTTGCGTGTACAACCGTTTTGCTGTTCCCTCACAGACTGATTGTCCTAACTACTTCATAACCCAGCACAACAAAGTGCCTTCGCCACAGACTGATTGTCCTAACTACTTCATAACCCAGCACAACAAAGTGCCTTTGCCACAGACTGATTGTCCTAACTACTTCACGTTTATGAATCATGGTGATTGGTAAGAGTAGTAGGTAGAAAACTGGAGAATACAAAGTGTCAATGTGGATTGCTGGAAAATACACTGCCAACTAGAAAAGCCAGTATTCAAGCTCTACAGGGACATATTGTTATCTGCATCAGGACAAGACTTTTATCACATTGGAATCATGAGACTACATCTTTCACTAAAGAGCTTAGCAGCAACTGATGTTTGAAAGTGATAGATATCATTCACTACATTGGTACCATGCCTGAAGTTATACATTCTCTAACAGTCACCCACACAGACCAATCTCGGGTGCCAGCTTTTGTTTCAGTACAATATTTAAACAAATTGTGTTGGAGAACCATAGAGTACGCAGACATAACCAGGTGAACACTTTCTGTAGAAGGAAACTGGTTGGCATGGTGCATGAGAAGTAAGTTGGACCTTGGTTATTCAGAGGGAGAGGCCTACTTCTAATTTTAGTGGCACAGGAAAATTATCACTGGCGGCTCTTCGACACTCAAGCGACAACTGAGTATGGGGAAAAGGAAAAAACAAAGGATAGCATTAAATATGCAGGTAAGTGATTGGAAGGCTGCAGCAGTGACAGACTCGCTCCGCGATTACATGTTTGATGGGTCATGGCATACATATAAAAATGCACTCTTAGCAGAGACTGGCTGCTGCACTGGAGGACTGAGCATGCATGAGAATGCTCAGTTTGCAGTGATGTCAACTGTAATAACATAACAAATATAAACTCGGATGTAGACACAACGTAATACTGTATATAAAATGTCAAACACCAGTTTATGTTTTACAAGTTTTTAATGCATGTGAATTCATTCAGGGTTCAATAAAACAATCTAAATGACACTGGTGTTACTTCAGTCATTATGCCTATCATTGCCTATCTTATCAATCTTAGAGCTGGTGCTAGCGAGTCTATAAAGGCAGGCTTGAGACAGCTGGCTGATCTGTGGCAAACCTCACTCAGTATATCTTCAACATTCATTACAGTCTAATCGTGACTAACAATGAACAAATTATGCATTCTTGTCTGTGGAAATTGAACATTTGATGATTACCAGGCAGGGATTTTTTGTGTGTCTAGGAAAACAAGTTTCGGCACTCACCTCAAAATACGTAACAAATGTGCTAGTGCTCACTCATCGCAAGGTGTCTATAGTAGTGCTAGAAAAACTATTCTTTCTTTAAAAAAAAAAAAACCCCAGCGCTGGTACAGACAGAACAAAAACACCACCTTGTAGCTGTTGGAGGCACCTGTAGAGTTTGTAATTAATTGTTCCCTAGTGTTTGAAACCCACACCCAGTATCACAATATGTGGATGTTATCTTCTTGGACATTTGCAACAGATCATTACCAAAATTGCAGCTCTTGAGCTGGAATATCTTCCTTATGTCAACTGGCTGCAGACAGTCCAGTAAAAAAAATGCTGGTTGTTTGTCCATCTCTGGACTTTGTCCTTGTTCCAGAACCTTTGTGATGGTTCCTTGTCTCTCAGGCAGAAATCACCCCGACTTCACAGAACACCTTTCCCCCCAAATTAGTTGACTTGTACAACATGATTGTTAGGAAGGCTGTGAGTCTATTCTTGTTTTCACCACAATGGGTCCCTGGAACCCAGAGGGGGACAGCTGGAATATCCAAATACAATCATCCAATCTGAGTAATACTGTCTGGTTAACATAGCAACAAGTAAAAATACCAACAATCTGATTTTCAGTTTTCCATCTGGTGTTGAAACTTGCAAATTATAGAACAAATCCTTTTTCAATATGCTCCAGGTAGCGAGGAATTTGATTATCACGTAGGTACTTCTGAAGATATGTACACGTAGGCCTCATTTGTACACCTTGTTCAGAGAAGGCATCAAATGCTGCCTGAAACAGTTAAAAAAAAAAACATTATCTTTATTACCCTGGCTGTATGGACTCTTTATCATCAAGTGCCTTGCTGACTGGCGTGACCACAATGGGCACATACATTCTGTTTCTTCTTTCCTAACTACAACTTTGTTTCTTCTGCTACTCTGGCTGTGTGGACACCTATATTATTTTCTTTTTCTGCTATCCTGGTTGTGTGAACACCTACATTTTCATTTCTTTTGCTACCCCGACTGTATGGACACCTAGATAATTGTTTCTTCTGGTATACTGGCTGTGTGGACATCCGTTCTTGTTTTTTTCTGTTATCGTGGGTACAGTGGTACAAATCTGCCTGTGTCCTGATATAATAGATGTTTTTGTGGGTACAGTATCTGCTTGTGTCCTGATATAATTAGATGTTTTTGTGGGTACAGTATCTGCTTGTGTCCTGATATAATTAGATGTTTTTGTGGGTACAGTATCTGCTTGTGTCCTGATATAATTAGATGTTTCTGTTATTGTGGGTACAGTATCTGCTTCTGTCCTATATAATTACATGTTTCTGTTATCGTGGGTACAGTATCTGCTTGTGTCCTGATATAATAGATGTTTTTGTGGGTACAGTATCTGCTTGTGTCCTGATATAATTAGATGTTTTTGTGGGTACAGTATCTGCTTGTGTCCTGATATAATTAGATGTTTCTGTTATTGTGGGTACAGTATCTGCTTCTGTCCTATATAATTACATGTTTCTGTTATCGTGGGTACAGTATCTGCTTGTGTCCTGATATAATTAGATGTTTTTGTGGGTACAGTATCTGCCTGTGTCCTGATATAATAGATGTTTTTGTGGGTACAGTATCTGCTTGTGTCCTGATATAATTAGATGTTTTTGTGGGTACAGGTATCTGCTTCTGTCCTGATATAAGTAGATGTTTCTGTTATTGTGGGTACAGTATCTGCTTCTGTCCTATATAATTACATGTTTCTGTTATCGTGGGTACAGTGGTCTTAAATTATGAACTAAAGCTAGTGAGATACTCCAAGGAACATCAAATTTCTGCAACAGCAGATGGATGTGCTACCACTCAACCACATCAATTGCCCAATTGTCTCCTTAAAGGTTGGCTGTGATGTACCTACATTTAAATATTTTGGAGGCCCGGCTCTCTAGCGTAGTTGGCTAAACCGGATTGCGCAGAGACCGGGTGACGAACTCCTTGTGGTCCGGGTTCAATCCCGGGGGTAGGCAGGAAAGCCACATTTTCTCCCAGATTTACGGTATTTACAATGGAATCAAGGCCGAAAGCTTGTGATATCCATAATACCGAGCCTAAGGGTTAACAACTCATGGCTTCTGGATACTAAAACAAACAAATATTGGAGAGAAAAAAAGAAAAGAAAAAACACCACAGAACAATACAGAAAGGAACAAGAAAAAAAACTAACTTTATTTTTAAAGGGTCACAAGCTGGGGATGCAGGCCTGTCTTACATTTAGCCCTTTCCAAAATTCCTCTTTCACACCACAACTGTATTCCATCTAGAAACGTTAATGCTGCAGCAAATAAAAACTCAAGCTTGTACAGTAAATATGCACATTTACATATACACACGTACATGTATACATACATTCACACACATACAAACACACCTAAAGTGTAATCGTTGGGGACCTCTATGTGGTGTATAACAGGATGGTAAATAAATGACGTCCATAAAACACAATGGTAGACAACTCACGGTGGCTAAAACTTTGGCGATTCCCTTGCCCTGGTGCTGCGGAGGAACTTCTGTATGAAACATCTCTACTAAACCAGGTTGTACCCATTCATATTCCAATTTGGCAAGTACTTCTGGCTGGTCGGAGCTGGCTTCTGATCATAATAAAATAAAAAAATACTTTGGCAAGAACCACTTTAATGCATATGAATGCAGAAGTGGACGAACAACCAGAACTTTCCACTGGAGTTTACAGCCGGTGAATGCGAAGTGAAAGAAAACAAATGCCATAGTTTTATTCTGTATATCATGTAAGGAGAATCTCTGTTATTCTTACATCTGTGTCTTGCTACATTCGTAGCAGATTTGTGTTACAATATGGGTCCCAGTATCAAGCAGGGGATATTTTATACAGTTCAATGTTAAAATATCTGGCCATATTTCACAAACACAGAATGTTCTTCTTCTTCTTTTTCACGTTCACCAGCTGTAAACTCTGGCGGAAGGTTCTGGTTGCTCGTCCACTACTGAACTGCAGTCCTGCTCCAGAACCTGAGTGTTGCGTGTGCATCAGTTTTACAGATCTCATTCTCTTGAATACAGACTGTTGGTTCCTTGCCTCTCCGGCAGATGCACTCCGACTTCAAAGGAAGCTTCCCAATTAGTCGACTCTTACGACATGCTTTTGGGGAGGCAGTGGGTCTATTCTTGTTTTCCCCACAATGGGGCCCCGGAACCCACACGGGGGGCACAGAATGTGTTGTCTGGCACACATGGGCACAAGCTGGTCACATGTGGTGCACTAAACTGAACAGGACAGAAGTTCAGAAACATGTTTTGAGGTTTTAAAGTTGTGAACAATGGATCAACATCATGGCACATGGGTGTAACCCAAAAGTGCTCCGTTCTTCTAACTCAAGTCTGAGTCTGAAAAAGCTCAGCACGGTGCAAAGGCTCTCAGAAATATGTGTAACCAATAAACAATTCATACAAAGCATATTCATTCCAACCCTAGGCTAGCAGTGCCAGATGTCACAACAAAGTAGATTATGGAAATAAGATATCGGAGAAGGACTGCGAGAGTGCGATCGTATGAGAACAGTTCGCCACAGAACCAATTCTAAATTACACACAGAGGCAGCAGATCAAAACATGTGCCCAGTTAGAGTGTCGTGTGACACCATACATACAAGTGATAACAAAAATGAGGAAATGGACGAAGAACAAGATGTATGTCAAGAATAACGTGGAAAAATAACGAGAGAAACCAGAAGAGCAAGAAGGAGAATTTATATCCTTCAAAACTCAAAGTGGCAAAAGAGGAAGTGAAGAAGAAGAATAAACCGATGAGTCACTTGGTATAGATAAAGATTCTACAACCTAGGATACTGTGCTCTGGATGCTCAGATGAATGAAGACAACAGTTCCACATCAAGTGGCTGAAAATGTTTGGTTTGGACGAATCAATGTGGCATTTTATTGCCGCTCGGACGAATCAATGTGGCATTTTATTGCCGCTCTCCAAGAATGCTACAACTATGGCGCTTGCAGCGTGCCTCTCTCTCAACAACTATGGACACACAATTACAAATAAAGCTGACCGTAATAATAAAATGATTAATATAATATGCCTTTCTTGTTCAGCATTTTAAGTCTTTGAGGTTCATTGCTGTGGATAACAGCCACATCCATTCATTTCTCTGACTGGCTTTCTTTATCGGATGGTGATTCCATCTTTGTAGGTCTGGCTGTATATTTTCTCTGCAAGGTATTTTTGGTCACTCTCACGGTTCTGCTTCCATTGAACTCTTTTGTGTAAGCAGGTCGTGTCTCTCTTATCTACCATTCTCTCTAAATGCTCCCAACCATTTCAGTCTATTAGCTCTCACAATGCCCATGATTATTACTGATTTAAACAGATATGAATTTCACTGTTGCTTCTCACAGTCAATTCTTCACTGTTTGAATATTCAATGTCTAAAAACATAAAAGCGTATTTAGCTGTACTTAAGAATATGCCTTTCTGAAAAGTAGAAACAATCAGATCTACATTGAAGATAATTTTATGCTGTGACTCACAATTGACTAACCTTCAAGTTTTATATAAAAACATTTCTTGTCTTTATCATGGACAACTGCAAACTGTGACATTTCTGCGCCAGTAACAGTGCTGTCTGAGACTGTAGAACTACACACACAAGAGAACAGTAATTAACACATAGTATATTTGCTGCTATATTTACATATACATCTTGGACAAAGAAGAGGAAAACTACTGACATCTTGAAAGATCTAAAGATCGAGGAAAATTGGCTATCCTGTCGTGGAAGCTGAAATATTTTGGTCATATCAAGCGCCACGACTGACTGGAAAAAATTATAGCAGAAGGCATGGTACCACGAAGGAGGGGCAGGGGCCGACCGACACAAAGATGGGCACAGGATTTAAGTGACTCTTTAAGTATGAAAGTGCATGAGGCGGGAGAGCTGGCCAGAGACTGAGTTTCTTTCAGGCAGACTGTGATGGTAGCGACGTTCTGCGAAGGACCTGCTATGTGATGGATGGATATTTGCTGTACATAAACTCTTTCAATACATGGCAATTATTATTTTAACTGTGTCTATCCCACAAAATTGAGCTTAAAAGCAGTGAACATTTGGGGGGGGGGGGGGGGTTTGTGGGAATCTAACAGAAATATGATGGGAGAGAAGCAGTTGACTAATAATTCAAATAGGCAGGGATGATATAAATTTGTCTGTATAAAGGCAGCAAGTACATTTTATAACATCTTTGGAACTGCCAAGTAACATGTGGTGAGTTCGTCTGTTATTGGAAGAATGGTAGTGTAAGGGAGCCAATCACAGCGACTGTTGCATGTGGTGTCAACAATGACAATGAAGTGAACAGTACATATCAGGTTAACTCTCTTAGTATCGTGCCAGGTAACAGCCAACATGCCTTTTATTTTCTGTCTCACAAAACACAGGATGATCTGCCTTTTTCAGTTTTCAGCAAATTTTTCTTCTACAAATTTAGTGTATCTGTCGTCCCATGTGGGACATAATTTTTTTTGTTTTTTTAAAGCTACTCCCTGGCTTAAGCCAGGGGCCCTAAATAAAGCCTGACGGCTGAGCGGGGTTGGGGTTTCCGGGACCTCTCCACGGGGGATCCTCATCCGCATGGTAGCACTTTGTGTCACTGGGTGTTTATCGCTTGTGTGATGTCCTGGTGGGGTACAACGTACAACCTGCCAACCTACCTTCAACAAAAACAAAACATCAGTTGGCACACACCCTACTGTGTCTGACATGACACCTTGTTCTTCATACGGAGGCGATTTGTCAACCTTAACACGTTCATTTTGAGCAGCCTTTCTCCATTTCCAAAGAGAATTTCCGGTCGTAGAAATTTTCTGGTCTCTTGTGCCACACCCACTTATTTCTTTAGATGTACCTACATTATCTCTGTCATCATTATCAACATCTTCATTTGTGATATGAGGATATCATTCAGTGGTGTCTCTCTACTTATCCAGAAATTATATCACTTTCAGCACTACATTCGCTGACATATTCAGAACCATCACTATGCGATGTGGAAGAGCAAAATCAGCATTGCAGTCAAGGTCAATATTTAAAAATCACTAGTATTGTTTATTTTCTTACAGGGATGTGAGGGACTTTCACTGTGGAAATGGAAAGGAGGATTCTGGCTCTCAAAAGTAAATGCTACAGACGTATTTTACGAATTAGTTATTTAGAACACAAAACTAATAAATATGTCACAGAAAAAAATATACAAATTTGCGGGACATCAGGCTCTCTTGGTAGTGGTGAAAAGCAGCTAGCTGGGTTTCGGCACACGTTGAGATATAATTCGATTGCAAAGAACATTCAAGGAACATTTGGGGGGGGGGAGGACTCAGAGAAGAACCTGGAATGACAACATCAAGAAATGGACAGGATTCTGGAATGACAACATCAAGAAATGGACAGGACTAAGTCCATTTATCCACTTATTCATCAAGCCGAAGACAGAGAAAGATGGCAGGTTTTATGTGCTAGTGCTTCCATCAATACACCTCCACGACCCTACTAGGTCAAGGGTTATGTTATTCTAAGTCACTAGCTCCATGATTGTGGAATATTGTCATCAAGGTACGTACGTGACCAGAAATTTTACAACCCCCCAATTTAGCTCATGTCAAGAAGAACTGAGAAAACTATTAGCCATAAAAAAAGTACCTTGAAATTGTCCGTGAGGGATGTCCTGCACAGATGTAGAACGGTCTTGCAGGCACAGGATTTACTTCAAATGTCTGCCACAAATGAGAACACAAATATTTGTACTGCCAGGCAAGTGTAACATTAGTAATGACTGTTTGTTTACTTGAGATAATGCCACGACTCCTCAGCTGCAAACAAGTTTGACAAAGCTGCCTGTAAGAAGCACATTTATTTGTTGCAATTTCTGTCACAGAAAACTTCAAAAATAACTGAGTACTCAGTAACAAATATTTGCTGCTCCTTATGTTGATGTGCATTGCACTGCAGATTTATTTTGTGAACTCATCAGGTATGCTGGGGCCAGGTCAGCGTGGGGCGTAAGGCTGCACCTGGACACAGAAAGCAGTATTGACATTATCTGGATACACACTAATTTATGATGTCATTTATTCACTGCAAGACTGAACAGCTCACACACTCCAACACCTGTTGAGACTTATCAGAGTGAACTCTACGTCCAGTTCCAAGACCCCATTTAAAGGAGAAAGAGAATAGACCACTGCTCCCCTAACAAGCGTGTCGTACCAGCTGACTAATTCAGGAAGTTCCCTTCAAAGTCAGAGTGAATTTGCTGGACAAGCAACCAACAGTCTGCAAAAAAGAAGCCACATCTGTGAAATGGATGAACAGGACCAAGTCCAGCAGCGGATGAAAAACCAGAACTTTCTGCTGGAGTTTACAGCCTGTGAACATTAACTCACTGAGTCCCAAGGAACGCATCATACGTTCATAAGTTCCTACCTAAAAGCCCAAAGAACGCATGATGCGCCGATTGTATGACTATCTTTACTACCCCCCCTTCCCCCGGGCCTGTGATGCTAAACCGCCTGGGACTCAAAGAGTTAAGAAGATCCTAGTGGAGCATATCCTGATTGCAGTGTCACTTCTAGTTAGTTAGTAATTCTATTTAGTTGCTGACAGCAGACATAATTAGTCACAACAAGACAGGGCAGTCACTGGCAAGTGACAGTAGACGTAACAAGGTCAGTTAACAGGCAGGTTTCACACAGAACTATTTAGTCACTGTCAGTTAACAGGCAAGTTTCACACAGAACTATTTAGTCACTGTCAGTTAACAGGCAAGTTTCACACAGGACTATTAAGTCACTGTCAGTTAACAGGCAAGTTTCACACAGAACTATTTAGTCACTGTCAGTTAACAGGCAAGTTTCACACAGAACTATTTAGTCACTGTCAGTTAACAGGCAAGTTTCACACAGAACTATTTAGTCACTGTCAGTTAACAGGCAAGTTTCACACAGGACTATTTAGTCACTGTCAGTTAACAGGCAAGTTTCACACAGGACTATTTAGTCACTGTCAGTTAACAGGCAAGTTTCACACAGGACTAATTAGTCACTTTCAGTTAACAGGCAAGTTTCACACAGGACTATTTAGTCACTGTCAGTTAACAGGCAAGTTTCATACAGGACTATTTAGTCACTGTCAGTTAACACAGTTTTTTGACATTTTCAGACTGTATAATCATAGCCAGTTTATAATTGATATACACATATCAGATTCAAAATGTACATTTATTCCTCTTAATAAATATAATTACACTATTGTAGGGACTAGAAATATATAACAATTTCTCAATTGGCTTTTTTTTTTTTTTTTACTCCATCTCCTCTGCCATTTTTTGTAAAGGGAAATTAATGCAAGCCAAGTTAGTGAAAATTCATGGGCCTGAAACAGTAATGTCCTCCTTCAACTCCTCATTGGCCATGCCATGTGCTATTGGTAGTAATGTATTTTCTATCTCTTCTTCATCTTAGCGTTCATCGGCTGGTTCTGACAGTGATGATCTTCCATGCCATGATGTCAAAACTGGGCTCTCCTTTAAATACCGATCGTTAGCTGGAAAGCCGACGGTCGCTTAGTGGGAGTTCACTCCCTTGGTTGCAGTGCAAATACGGAGCGGAAAAGTCACGAATCAAAACAGAAAGTGAGGTCGACATCAGGGCTGCACACTGCTTGGGTTTTTCCCTCAGATCTGGGTTTTTATTTGACGGCTCGGGGAAATCTGGGTTTCCTTTTTTTTTTTACATATATCCTTATATAAAAGTGGTACATGTTTCGTGTCGTAACTATACATTGTGTACAATATTAGCAATATGGGTGTCTTATTTTGTCTCCTGTTCTTTGTCTAAGTAATTGCCCTGGTCGACATGCCTGCTAGAGCTACACCACTCACTGCGACTCACAGTAGCGACCGCGGTCTTCCGATGCACGACTTAGTGACCGTAGATATGAGACCTGCGGATCTGTATGTCGTAATGAGTGATACGTTTGCGTGGTTAGGGTTAGATGTGACAATGTTGACGCAGGAGGTCCAAATAATCACGCACAGTGATAAATACAGCCAAACGGCTCTCCTAGCACATTTGGACGCAAGCTGGACAGCTTCGGTCGGCTAAGTGGGAGTTCTCTCCCTTGGCCGCACTCAAAACAAGTAGCGGAAAAAATCACGAATCAAACAAGACAGTGAGGTCGACATCAGGGCTGCCAATGCTTGGTTGTGTCCCCCAGATCTGGGTTTTTCTTTTGACGCTGCGGGGAAATCTGTGGGGGGGGGGGGGGGTGTTTTGCCGATCTGTGTGCTTTAATGACCGATAAATTTGCCTGGTTAGGGGTAGGGTTAGGGTTAGCGGTAGGATTAGGGGTAGGGTTGGGGTTAGGATTAGGGGTAGCGTTAGGGTGACAGTTAGGGTTAGGGTTAGGGGTAGGGTTAAGGGTAGGGTTAGGGGTAAGGTTAGGGGTAGGTTTAGCGTTAGATGTGACAATTTTGACGCCATAGTTCCCTATAATCGCGCACAGTCACATACACACCCAAACAGTCGACGGACGGTGGATGCTACTGACACGGACAATTCGCCACCGATTGGGCACCAGCCGCGCGCTATTGCCGTCATATTTGGCACACTTTCAGTGGCGCCACTCCCACAAGCATCAGAGTGTCGTCCATTATTTGGAAGTTCTACGTCACCATTGTCACATCTAACCCTACCCCTAACCCTACCCCTAACCCTTCCCCTAACCCTATCCCTAACCCACACCCTACGCATCCCTACACGCAACCGTATGATGATGATAGACACCCTACGCAACCCTACACGCAACCGTATGATGATAGGTAACCCTAGACGCAACCGTATGATGACTACGCAACCCTACACGCACCCGGATGATGATAGGTAAGAATGTCATTTGATTCGTGACTTTTCCGCTCGTTGTTTTCAATGCGGCCAAGGGAGAACTCCCACTAAGCCGACCGAAGCCGTCCCGCTTGCGTCCAAATGTGCAAAGGAGAGCCAGCCAAACAATTGAAGGACTGTGGATGCTACTCAAACAGACAATTCGCCATTAATTGGGCACCAGCCGCACGCTATTGCCGTCATATTTAGGAGAATTCCTGTGGCGCTGTTCCCACAAGCATCACATTGTCGGCCATTATTTGGAACTCCTACATCAAAATTTTCACATCTAACCCTAACCCTACCCCTAAAGCTAACCCAAACCCTACGCAACCGTATGATGACTACGCAACCTTATGATGATAGGTAAGTATGTCATTTGTTTCGTTCCCTCTGTACGGTCCGTATTTGTACTGCAGCCAAGGGAGTGAACTCCCACTAAGCGACCGGCTTTCCAGCTAACGATTGGTATTTAAAGGAGAGTCTCAAAACTGTCCTGCGTATATTCTGTCGGTCTGCCTCTTTTCCCCTCCAACATTCCCACCGTCTCGGTGTACCATATTTTTCTACTTATTGCGACATGGCAGAAGATAATCATATACGTTACACTTAATTTATCGACGAATATGGTGTGGACAAAGTATACAGTACTAGTACAGTACAGTACTACTACTACTAGTCTATTACTAGTACTACTTACTGGACACAAGCCAAACGTGGTAATCGACGAGTGCGTGAAGTTTACTGCTACTAAATGTGACTTGTATATGACGTATCTGGGCGATGTTGCTGTTGTCTACCTTCTACCTGTAGGGTATGTGTTCACCAAACAATCAAGAAGACACAAAGAAACGGTTCTCCCACAAGTGGACCGTCCCCCGACGTGGACCGTGGAGCGGTAGCAGAAGACACGGACAGGCAACAGTAACCGAGCCGTGGAGTTCCAGCTGCCAGTATATAGTAGTCGAGGCTTGTCAATGTCTGCTGCAGCTGCTGTAACGGTCGCCGGGCAGGAAAAGACAACATTTGTTGGCAATCTTGTTCTTCTTTTGTTCTCACACCAGACCAAGCTGCTGTCGTAAAGATCTGTAGATCTGTCTGGGTGGGCAGAGGGTTTGTGTCACTGTCGATTGTTTTCATAGTTTTTACATCCTAATCAATTTTTTAGCTGCCGAGGAGAGGTAAACAGTAAAAGTTATCTGCAGGTAGGTAAGGCGTAAGGATTTTGAAACTGGTTTTCTCCCGGTATCAACTTATTTCTTTGTGGGGGGGGGGGGGGGGGGGGGGTAGAGTAGGCACACTGCCACTACTCTCCCAACTGGCATTTTATAACAGACGGCTAATTATAGAAAGGGTGAGGGTTTCCTTCATAGCAGCAATTGCAAAAATGCATCTGTTTAAGGCTAGTTTAAGTCCTGGGAACGAACTAAATGCCCAAAATGAAAATCTGCAAATAAAACCTAACTGTGATCACTCATACACAAACACAGCGCCAAGAAAATGATTAGGTCCAAGAGAAACCCTAAAATGAAAGTTAATCATAGAGGCAAATGGTGTTGGACTGCATGTCATCTATGATGTCAAAAGGATAGAATGGAATTGAAAATATTATGAACTCTGTGTGACAACCAGGCGATGATGACAAATTGTACAGTGAATAACATGACCCCACATTTAAATGAAACTACTGTTTGAGCTTGCCTTAATGGGTACGAGGTAAAGTCCTGGAAAGTAAAGGTGGCTGCCGTGATGTTGACCGCATCACCCAGTGCCAGTTAGTCTGTAAAATATAGGTATATGGCTCGTACGCCAGCAGGCATGGAAACAGGTCCTTTACTTGTATTGTTTGACTTCACAGGTTAGTATTCGATTTTGAGTAATTGCGTGCAGTTTCCTGTGAGTAATGAATCATCATAACCCTGCCTAGTTTTTGATGGTATGTGTATTTGTGGTCTTAACCTTATTTATTTAACTATTCTTTTCCTTCCTGCTGGTTACATTTTTTGGCTATCTTCTGAATAACGGTCCCAAATTATCGAGGCTGAAAATATACCCTAACAGGGCCTCAAGCACATGTCAATTGCAGACTTCTGGCGACTTAAATTGCGCACTTCTGCCACCGCCGAGAGTATCTCCCATGCGGCTACGCGCAGCGTGAATTGGGGCTAAACTAAATGGCTGGGACTCACGAGCAGCAGCTACCACATCTCCTGCAGCTTCCTTCATTTTATTTGCTTGTGAGTCCCAGCCATCTAGTTTAGCCCCAATTTACACCGCGCGTAGAGGCGTGGGAGATACTCTTGGCGGTGGTGGAAGTCCGCAATTGACATGTGACTGAGGCCCTGTTAGGGTATATTTTTGGCCTTGATAATTTGGGACCGTTTTTCGGAAGATAGCCTATTTTTGAAACTGGAAATAACATAGCTGATGTTGAATTTTGCAGGTGTTAATTGACAGAATCACTAGTAGCACCTTGGAACAGTATTGGGTCCTTTCCTTTGTGGTATCACTTCAGCCCAGGCAACATGTTGGCAACAGAAAGAGAGCGGCGCTCAAATGCAGGGGGCAAGATGGCCAAACTTTTGGAAGCGGAAGATGAGGATGACTTTTACAAGACCACATATGGAGGGTTCGAGGAGGTAGCATATTTTCAGTGTTGACTTTTGTTTTGTATGAAGTTTTAGTGTACAGTGGTTCCTCGGTGTAATGTGGTCCACTTTGTAATGTGTCTAACTTGGTTTGGTTGTTTGGAATACGACTCACATACTAGGACTTGTATGAGTCAAAATAAGTTATCATGATGATGGTAATTTTACTTGCTTAGTCGCTCCTCTTCTACCTTGGGGTGTAGAGGTTTGCCAGAGAGATTGCCAGACGTCTCTATCAGCAGTTTTCTTTCTGGCTTTGTTCCATTCCTGTCCTCTGTCAGTTAGGGACTGTCGGATGTTGTCTTCCCAGCGCACCCTGGGTTGTCCCGGAGGTCTGGTTCCCTGGTTCGTAGCCTCCCATGCTTGCCATGGTGGCCGATTTTCTCCCATTCTGCGTTCATGTCCAAACCATCTAACTGTGATTGATCCACTCAGGTTTGTAAGGACTGGGTATCAAGATCTTGACGTATTGTCTAATTGCGGACTTTGTCCCTTCTTGTCACTTGGACCACCTTTCTTAGATAATGATGGTAATATGGAGGAGTTAATGAAGGGACTTAGAAAAGAGCTGCAGCAACTTAAGCTCAAGACTGAGATAGAAGTTCTCTCTTCAGGCTTGCAGGAGGAGATAGATAAAGCATCTACTTCATTAACAATGGAAATGTCTGCCAGGTGGATGTTCTCTCTTCAGGCTTGCAGGAGGGGATAGATGAAGCATCTACTTCATTAACGAATCAATAACAAAAGTATTTTTTAAAATGAGAGGTGATTAATCATTCTCCCTTTTCTTCAATGGCAAATCATTTGATATGTGTCCTGTTTGGTTTAAATTCAAGGATCTGAAATGGGTTAATGATTAAAGTGCAGACCGCTTGAGGTGATCTTGGAAATGGTAAATTTGTTTATTCCTGCAGTTTTTCTTGTTTTTCCTGCCTTAATTCTTATCTGGATAATGAAGAATTTCTGATTAAAAAAGAACCACTTCTTGTTTTTCCAGTGTGTTCTCCTTATCAGGTCTGCACCGTACTGAGGTACCACTGTACATTCAACATTCTTAATGTCAACTGGAAGGTTGATCAAATCTCTGTGTGATTTAAAAAAAAAAAATGTTGTTTTGTTAATTATATTGCAACAGTTTATTTTGTTCTCTTGTGTAATTTCATTTTTGACATTTATTTGTGGAAGCTACGCTTTTTAGTGGCTAGTAAAAATTTTATAATTCTTCAATGTTTTCACGTGAGTGTTAGTTTTGGTCAATTTTGAAAACATATTATATCAGTGTTGCTTCTCTAAAATTCGGAGCTATAGTGCTCAGCTGGAAGTGGTATCCTGTCTTTTCCAGCTTGTCTAAAGGAATATAATGCAGGACCAGTGTCAACTGTAGGGCCAGTGTCAACTGTAGGGCCAGTGTCAACTGTAGGACCAGTGTCAACTGTAGGACCAGTGTCAACTGTAGGGCCAGTGTCAACTGTATGACCAGTGTCAGCTGTAGGGCCAGTGTCAACTGTAGGACCAGTGTCAACTATAGGGCCAGTGTCAGCTGTAGGGCCAGTGTCAACTGTAGGACCAGTGTCAACTGTAGGGCCAGTGTCAACTGTAGGACCAGTGTCAGCTGTAGGGCCAGTGTCAGCTGTAGGACCAGTGTCAGCTGTAGGGCCAGTATCAGCTGTAGGGCCAGTATCAGCTGTAGGGCTAGCTCTGTTTGGCTAGATATTGTGTGTAGATTGATTGTCTCTCCTGTCCTTGATGAGCTTTTGGTCTATCACAGATCTTCACAGCTACAAGCAATGTTGTTGCTTCTCATGTGAAGCTGGTATAAGTTTAGAAGAAGAACTTCTGATAAAGACAGCACCCAGCACATCTATTAAAGACATGACCATGAACATCTGATGACCAAATAAGTTTGTAACTGCCGATGTAAGACCCACACAACATAAACCATTTTTGAATTCATATTTCATATTATGCGTATTCTGTCATGTTTGTCTCATTGTGTCATTGCAGGAAGAAGAGGACAGAGATTACAACTCCTCCCAGTCAGATTCTGATGATATCATTGACTCTGATTTCAGTATAGATGAAAACGATGAGGTGAAGAGTGATGACAATGATGATGAAGGGAAACCAAAGCGGAAGAAAAAAGGAGTTGTTACAAAAGCATACAAGGTATAGAAGTGTTGTGTAGGATTTCCTCATCGTCTTGTGCACATTGGTTGTTATATTTACCTACCCTAAATGTTTCCATGCAGATGTTTTTGGATGTTGCTCTTTCCATTCTAATCACTTTTTCTTCTGCATTCTATCCTCCAACAGGCATAGGACCTCAACCGTCTCACACCAAGTCGTTCTGTCCTTCGCTGTATTGAGCTCTCACCATATCCTCCCCATCTTTTTAACTTTGCTCTCTAGTTCCTGTTCTCCTTGTGTTCATTTGGTCTTCTTTTATTATATGCCCTTGTGGGTTCCAGTGCAAAGACATTATAGTTATATTGTTCCCAGGTTTTCACAACATGTGTCCTATCCACGCAAGTGTAATTTCTTCACCTCTTGGTCCACTGGAACTTGTTTAGTTTTGTCCCAAGCCTCTACATTTGTGAATGTTTAATACAATTTAATTTCTTTTATTCTGTATGGACGCCAGTGAATGAATGTTTGTAGTTTATGAGTAATTGTCTTAATTGTTCTCTGTTTCTGCTCCATACAACATACAACTGATTTGACATTAGAATTAAACATTTCAAGTTTAGGATTGGTTTTAATTTCTTTTGATCTCTACAAATTTCCTAGTGCTGCACAGGCTCCTGTTGTCTAACTACCTATCAAACAGTGTGTGTCACCAAATGTTGTGGAGTCCGGTTGTATGGGTAAACAAGAGTAGACCGACTCCCTACTTAATAAGCCCTTTGTAGAAGTGAATCTCTGATACTAACAAAATTGGGGGACATGGGAGTCAAGCATGGTGAAGCACATCTGTGCCTGCCGCCTTCGAGGCAGAGATAGGAGACATTATAACCAACCTGTCCTGGGAATAATCAGTTGAGGTACCTTGGAGTGGCTGCTGCATCGGTGGAGTGTGCAGACATGGGGATGCCCAATGTCCAGTGTAATTATTTGTAATAACATAACATTAAAGGTTATAAATTAGAGGTTTGCTGAAATCAGGCCAAAAAAACACCGGTGTGTGTGTGTGTGTATATATATTTAAAAAAAATCATTCTAGGAAATTGGATGTAGGAAGAAGTAAGGGCATATAAAATCAACAATAACTTTATGTTCCCAATTTAAAGAAGTCTATGTTTGCCATAACACATTTAATGCTTTAGATGAAGGGGGAACTGTGTAGTTATGTTTATGATTAAACTCATTTGGTCACAAAAATGGAAACACCTGAATATGTACAAATATATCTGTGAATAAGCCTCTGCGTCAAGGACCATATCTTAGAGTGTTTTTTGCATGTGTCTATCACTTTAGTATTTTTGTGTTGGTCTCTCTGTGTTAAAGATCTTTGCACAAACTGTGCTTTACATTTGTCTTTATGTTGGGCCTTGTTTGTCAGGCTTAATCCACTTTTATGTCTAAATATTCTTTGTGTACTACCACAATATTCCGTCACTACCTGTTTAGACAGAAACCATGCCTTCTGTTTTTGAACACCAAAAACAAAACAGACAGTTTTCTGTAACACATGAAATAGTTCTCCCATAAATGACTACTCTGGGGAGGGATATTAAACCAGTGGTTCATGTTGTAGGATCCTAAAGGGGACAAGGAAAAGAAGCCTCCAACAAAGAAGCTGAAAACAGAAAAGTCAACAGAGGTGCCATCAGTCCAGATCTATGTATCTCCAGGTACACATGTTCTCACGTTGGGAATGTTATGGGAATCTCTGAGAGTGATTGTGCAATGTAAGAACTTCATCATGTTGGGGAATGTTATGTGAATCTCTGAGAGTGATTGTGGAATGTAAGAACTTCATCATGTTAGGAATGTTATGTGAATCTCTGGAAGTGATTGTGGAATGTAAGAACTTCATCATGTTAGGAATGTTATGTGAATCTCTGAGAGTGATTGTGCAATGTAAGAACTTTATCATGTTAGGAATGTTATGTGAATCTCTGCAAGTGATTGTGGAATGTAAGAACTTCATCATGTTGGGGAATGTTATGTGAATCTCTGGAAGTGATTGTGGAATGTAAGAACTTCATCATGTTAGGAATGTTATGTGAATCTCTGGAAGTGATTGTGGAATGTAAGAACTTCATCATGTTGGGGAATGTTATGTGAATCTCTGGAAGTGATTGTGGAATGTAAGAACTTCATGATGTTGGGGAATGTTATGTGAATCTCTGAGAGTTATTGTGTAATGTAAGAACTTCATCATGTTGGGAATGTTATGTGAATCTCTGAGAGTGATTGTGGAATATAAGAACTTCATCATGTTAGGAATGTTATGTGAATCTCTGAGAGTGATTGTGGAATGTAAGAGCTTCATCCCATTTTGAATCTGTATTGTGGAATGTACAATGTGCATTGTGATGTGAATGTTTGGTGAATCTGGGTTCATCTGGGTAAAGATTTGACATTCCGGCATCCAGGACAAACCGATATCAGCTCCGTCTCCCTCCTCAACAGCCAGCGAAGAGTACTGTTGGTACCCATTGTCATCTTGTTAACTACTCGTCTTACCTTTTCACAAGTCCTGAGTGGTGCCCAGAGCCCACAGACACTTCCGGCTGCAATAATTTCTCCAGGCATGTGTTATCTTCCATTTCACTTATTACCTTGGCCCACAGACAAGAGATCACCTCTGCCTTGTGTATTTGTAGTGCATCCTCCACTGGGGCCATTCCAGCCAACTTATCTGCCTGCTCATTCTCAAACACACCTGAATGACCCGGGCAAAATATCCATGTGACTCTACCCACCTGCGACCCATAGATTAACCCATTCAAAGAAAACCCAACTCTGCCCTCCTGAGCATGCACTGCAAATCTGAAACTATGACAACATGTGTGGCTGATATTTTGTCCACCCATTAGAACTCAGCAGTTACCACATTAACCTCAGTTCTCATGCTGTATGTGATTGTTTAGTGAATCTCTGCGAGTTTGTGTGAGATGTGTCGACTGGCTAAACATTTGATGATTTTCAGTAACACACAAATATTGTTATTTTACATGATTGGTTGTTTGTCTAATTTACAAGTGTGTAGCTGTGTCCAGTTGTCAGACTAGACAGCATTGGGTTTCTTATTTCTGTACTAATTTTCTTATGTGTAGGGAATGTTATTGTCTTAGTTTTCCTGACAGACCTAACTGCTGATAGTGAAGTGATGATTTGTTACTAGTTTGTCTAGTTTATTCATGCTTATATTTATTTGTTAGATACTGTGTTGAAGACTGCTTGTTTTACATTTGTAATTGCAAATAAATTATCAATCAACAATGAATAAATGCCACCTTTCTTGAGCCTAGAAAGAAAGTCCGTGAGGAGATCGACAGCTCTGAAGTCAGAAGCAGCATTATCCAGACAAAAGTTGGATCAGCAGCGGGACAAGATACTCAAAGACATGGCAATCAAGAAAAATGTTTCTCACATTCGCAGGATGACCCAAGAGGAACTTCTGGAGGAAGCCAAGATCACTGAAAAGCAGAATATGAAAAGTTTAGGTAAGGGTTTGATGCCATCAGCTTTACCTGTTTGTTCGATTATTGTCTCAGGGATCTTTTTTTTTTTTCTAAAGCATAGTTATTGGATTGAGTTTTTGTTGAATCAACCTGTATTAGTGGCAATCTTCCTAGTCTATGTGTATAAAGCCAAGTGAGCAAATATTTGTTCTTTAAATGAGAGTACAGGATAGGACAGCTTGGTGGCCTGAGTAGGTTGAGGGCCCATACTCCTTTGTGGGATAAAGAGCAGAAGAAGAAGAATAAGAGGAAGTGTGAGCACAGTACAGTTAGTTATGAACATGGACAATATTTAAGAAATACTAGAGGGCGCTTTTTCATGCCTTGAAGGACATTGTGTACACCTTGCTGTATAATGCCTTCCTACCTAGACTAGGGTACCTGCATGCCTTCCGGCATGCTAACCAGCTATGTACCTTCCTACTTGCTATCTTATCTATATCACTAGAAACAGGCCATAGGAAGACATGTGAGCAGATGATTTAGATGTTGAAGATTGTGAGAATGGTCTGAAATTCGTATTTCATCTCATTGTTTAGAAACATCTTTTTTTTTTCTGTACAGCTTTGTATTATGTATATTTGTACAAGTGGTTGTTAATTTATTGCCACTGTTTATCAGAGAACTATCAGAAGCTGGAGCTGGAGAAGAAACGGGCAAGGGTAGTTAAACAAGCTTATCATGGCCCTATCATCCGCTACCACTCTCTCACCATGCCTTTGATTGAGGAGTTGCCGTACGAACCAGACGTTGATGTTGATTCTGAAGAGTAAGTCCTCATACCTGTACTGGTGAATGTGTATATGTCTACTAACCCATGTGTTGCTGGATCCAAGAGGAAGGCAAAGAATAGTACGATCACAGAGAATGTGCAGTTTACCTCCTGGGATGAAAACAGCAATCTCCACTTCTCAAATTCTTTATGTTAAATAAGGGTGAACAACTGGAACAGTGTGGCTGGTACACAAACAACATTTATATGCCATGCTTCCTTATGATACCTATGACATCGCTGTTCTCAGCTGTGTGTTTCAACCTGAACCCCAGCAACACCTTGTTCTTATCTGTTTGTTCTAATGTGAACTGGCAACACCTTGTTTTTATCTGTTTGTTCTAACTTGAACTGGCAACACCTTGTTTGTATCTGTTTGTTCTAACCTGAACTGGCAACACCTTGTTTTTTTCTGTTTGTTTTAACATGAACTGGCAACACCTTGTTTTTATATGTTTGTTCTAACATGAACTGGCAACACCTTGTTTTTATCTGTTTGTTCTGACATGAACTGGCAACACCTTGTTCTTATCTTTTTGTCCTAACATGAACTGGCAACACCTTGTTCTTATCTGTGTATTCTAACATGAACCTCTGCAACAGACTTCTCATCCAACATGAACTGGCAACAGCTTGTTCTTATCTGTTTGTTCTAACATGAACCCCGTCAACATCTTGTTCTCAACCGTTTATTCTAACATGAACCCCGGCAACACCTTGTTCTTGTCTGTTTGTTCTAATATAAATCTCTGCAACACCTTGTTCTTGCCTGTTTGTTGTAATATAAATCTCTGCAACACCATGTTCTCATCTGATTTTTCCAACATGAACAGGCAACAACACCCTTTCTTATCCAATATGAACAACCAACAACAGCCTTTCTTATCCACCATGAACAGGCAACAACAGCCTTTCTTATCTAACATGAACTGGCAACAGCAGCCTTTCTTATCCAACATGAACTCGCAACAGCTTGTTCTTTTCTGTTTGTTATAACATGAACCGGGAAAACTTATTAAGTCCTCTAGCAATTACAGTCTTCTAAAGCGATTACAATTCTACTACTTTGATTAGTATTTTTAATGACATTATATTTACACCAGAATTACTTTATTTTGGACAATTGTGGTAAATATTAACATCTTGTTCCCTTGACAAAATTAAATATAAACAGCAGATATAAGTAATAGAAGAAAGCTGAACCAGTGACCCTGGAGATATTGTCTGGGAATAGCCACACGTGATTGACTAGCCACACTTGACTTGCTAGCCACACTTAGCTTGCTAGCCACACTTGGCTTGCTAGCCACACTTGACTTGGTAGCCACACGTGATTGACTAGCCACACTTGGCTTGCTAGCCACACGTGATTGACTAGCCAACCTTGGCTTGCTAGCCACACTTGGCTTGCTAGCCACACTTGGCTTGCTAGCCACACTTGGCTTGCTAGCCACACTTGGCTTGCTAGCCACACTTGGCTTGCTAGCCACATATGAGTGACCAGTTACATGTGTGACCATGACTGACTAGTCACACGATAACATGTTTCTGACAGGGTTGCTGAAACCAAGAAGCCAGAGTTGTCTGTAGACGAGAAGTGTGAGAGGACGTTCATCACTTTCACAGATGAGTCCACTTTTAAAGAGATTTTCCCTCAAGTGTAAGTACTGCTGCTGTAAGGCTGTCTATTGCTACTATAAGGCTATCAGTCAGTCAGACAGACAGGCTATGTGAAGCTCGCAAAATGTCATGGTTTCATCTGTGTTCTGCAGTCTGCTAGTTTTTTTTTTTGACCTTCTCTTCCAATTGGCAGTGGCTTCAGTATTGTGACCCATGATTTACTTTGCACTTTCTGTGCATGTGTCTGCACGGTTTTCTCATGGTATTTTGTTTGATGAGGAGAATTCATCCAGCAGATTTAATATGTCACCTGTTGACGTGTTGGCAAGTAGTAGTGTGCAAGGAAGAAGATCCTCATGGTAGCTTCGTAAGTGAACAAATACATATCACTAAAACTGCCAACCTGGCAATGTCATTTGATTCATCCTCCATTTATAGTGCAAATTTGGTACAGGAGATTCTCTTTCACTGGCCATATCCCTGATTTGTCATTTCTTAATTTTTAATTCCATAAAACTAAGCTACCTCCTCTAAAGGCCTGGGAGTCCCTGGGAAGTTGACATGGAGCCCTGCTTGGGGACCACTGTACTGGGAGCTAGACAAAACTAAACTGACAAACAGGATAGTAAGGATTTGGTGTAACAATGTCTGCGGTAGAAGAGAACCAAAAAAGTAGTCTGTCCTTAGGCTAAACAATTCCCTATCTTTGTTCAAAGGGGAAAAAAAAAGAATAGATCCGCTGCCCCCCTAAGACGCATGTCACAAAAGTCAGCTAATTAGGGGAGTTTCTTTCAAGGTCATAGTACAGGGAACCAACAGTTTGCACACAATGAAGCCAGATCTGTAAAATGTATGTGCATGTAAAACAAGTTCTGAAAAACAAGTTCTGAACAAGGCTGTAGTGCAAAAATGGACAAACATTTCAAACTTTCCGCCGGAGTGAATGCGAAGAAGAAGAAGAAGAAGAACTGTTGAACCTGTGATGAGCTGCATAGTACAGAAAGAGTTAATACTCTTGTGCTCATTACAGTTAGAAGCATTTGATTGGTCAGCATGTTTCCATCTGGCCATAGTGGGGTGGCCATAATGATTCTTGTTCTCGTCCCTACCAGGCATCTGTCAAGTTCTGACTGTGCCAAGATTGAACAGTTAACTTGTTCAAGATGTTACATTGTGGTCATTCGGTAGTCTTAGAGATAACCATGTAATGACATCTGTTTTTATATATGTGTCGGAACTGTTCATTGTTTGAAGACAGCCTTTGTGTTACTTTCAGAAAAGCTAAGCCACCTAGCAGAGCCATATGTCCAGTGACCAAGTTACCAGCCAAATACATTGACCCAGTCACACAGGTATGTCTTGACCCAGTCACACAGGTATGTCTTAACCCAGTCACACAGGTATGTCTTAACCCAGTCACACAGGTATGTCTTAACCCAGTCACACAGGTATGTCTTGACCCAGTCACACAGGTATGTCTTAACCCAGTCACACAGGTATGTCTTGACCCAGTCACACAGGTATGTCTTAACCCAGTCACACAGGTATGTCTTAACCCAGTCACACAGGTAGGTCTTGACCCAGTCACACAGGTAGGTCTTGACCCAGTCACACAGGTAGGTCTTGACCCAGTCACACAGGTATGTCTTAACCCAGTCACACAGGTAGGTCTTGACCCAGTCACACAGGTATGTCTTGACCCAGTCACACAGGTATGTCTTGACCCAGTCACACAGGTATGTCTTAACCCAGTCACACAGGTAGGTCTTGACCCAGTCACACAGGTATGTCGTGACCCAGTCACACAGGGATGTCTTGACCCAGTCACACAGGGATGTCCAGTGTTGAGACTTGGTTGTTGCTTTATTGTGTTTTGCTACAGTGCACCGGGTGGTTAGTGAGGACCATCATCACGGCACTCTGTACAGATCCATAGGTGCTCTGATCTACTCCTCAGAAGCTCTGAAAGTGAAAAATGGCAGGTCACGCCCGTTCTGTGTTGATTATTCACCTGATAAGACGTGGGAGAAATGTGCCGATAATAAACTGTGCAATTTGCAGTGTGTGTTCTGATTAAAAAAAAAATTCATAGTTGGAAAATGTGACTTTAAAATATTTTATAACAAACTCAGCTGACATAAAAGTAATAAGTTCTACATGCCTGGGATTTTGAGTGAGAATGGTATAAATTAACCTCAGCCCCCCCCCCCCCCCCCCTTCCTTTTTCCACCTGTTTCTGTCCTTTTCTTCCTTTCTTCTGAGACCTCTTTGGTGTCAGTGTGATATAGATGTCACACCTTGTTGCCTGTCAAATAATAATTATGTACTATGATTCTAAATCCGTTATATTACAGACTGCAAATCTGACATAGGTATTGTTTATTATTGGTTAGTTGCATACCCTTTACAGGACGTTGCAGAACCAACCCCAACAGTCCCTGGCTGTTGTGTGGTTTTTCTAGGCAAATTTATGACCAGTAGTTTGTCATTGTGCTTTCTGGACGGTCAGCTTTCTTGATACCACTGTCAAAACCAACGCAAGGCGCATGGCCCGCAGCTGGGATCGAACCCTGCACCCCGGCATTACGAAGCGTTCGCATCAACTTAGATTGTTTATTATAGAGAACACAAATACATGTGATTTGTAACGTGCATAAATATTTTATATCAGGTCATAGTGTTATGTGTTTTTATCTTTGGTCTCTGTGAATCAAATGTCAGACAGAACATAGGAATATTTTTAAATATTTTCTTGTGTGTGAATTGACTGTCAGACAAAACATAGAAATATATATTTTTATCTTGTATAGACATGTGTTGTATATCCGACATGGCATAGAAATATCTATCATTTATAGACATGCACTGTATGACGTTCAAGATGTAAAGTGTGTTCATTTCTAATGACAGACACCTTATGCCACTGCCCAAGCATTCCACCTGATTCGAGATGCATACACTCGTCAGCTGGAGAATGAAAACAAAAATCGCTCAGCCAGCCCCGTGAACATAAATGGCCAGAGAAAAAAGGAAAAAGACAAATCATCGGGTTCTCCGCAGATGTTGTCGACAAGTGCATGATTCCAGATACGTTGTTTTGTTGGTTTGTATATAATTATTTGGTGTTTTTGACATCTCCCAGTTTGTGACTTTCATTGAGAGACAAATAAAGAGTTGTATCAGATTGTCAGTGTATGACTCCAGTGCTTCATGTAATGTGTTCATTTGTAAAATAGAAAGTTTGGTGCTGTAAAATAGAAGCATTGATACCGTAGAATGGATAGATTAGTACTGTAAAATATGAAGATTGGTACCGTGGAATGGAAAGATTGGTTCTGCGGAATGGAAAGATTGGTACTGCAGAATGAAAAGAACCATCGCCAAAATTGATGCAGCAATACAGGTGAACCGTTGTTGAGGTAAACGTTTGTTAGTGGCAGAATTCTGTGTTTCACAAGGGATGTTGAAAAGGTTGATCATAAGAAACTGCAGTATGGGATGGTGTCTTCACAATGGGTGCCACCAAAAAGGGGGAATGAGTGGGATGGTGTTTGAACCACTTGCTGCGCTATACAAAGGTGATGCATTTCTCTTCCACACAGTCTTCTTCTTCGTGTTTACCATCTGTAAACTCTGTCAGAAAGTTCTGGTTGTTCATCCACTTTTAGACTTCAGTCCTGTTCCAGAACCTGATTTTGCGTTTCATCCGTTTTACAGATTCCACTTAGTGACAGGCGATGAATCATGGTGTCACCACTTTGAGCCGAGTAGAAACAGGAAGAGCATGCGCAGCAACAGGGGAGAGCATATGCAGCAACAGGGAGAGCATGTGCAGCAACAGGGAGAGCATGTGCAGCAACAGGGAGAGCATGTGCAGCAACAGGGGAGAGCATATGCAGCAACAGGGGAGAGCATGTGCAGCAACAGAGGAGAGCATGTGCAGCAACAGGGGAGAGCATGTGCAGCAACAGGGGAGAGCATGTGCAGCAACAGGGAGAGCATGTGCAGCAACAGGGGAAAGCATGTGCAGCAACAGGGAGAGCATGTGCAGCAACAGGGGAGAGCATGTGCAGCAACAGGGGAAAGCATGTGCAGCAACAGGGGAGAGCATGTGCAGCAACAGGGGAGAGCTTGCTGGATCACCAAAAAACAAAATAATTCAAGCTACAGATGTCCATTGCCAAGGTTATGCTGAGTGCATTGTTTGAGCTTGAAGGTCTGTGTTGGCTGACTGGAAAGAACCTGACGTCATCAACCCTACCCACTACTTAGAAACGTTAAACAAGCTGCATAAAGCAATCAAGGGTAAAGTCCCAGCATGCTTCTCGTGGTTTGATTTCGTTGCTTGATAGTTCTCATTGGCATCCTGCAAATATTGTACAGGAACACTTTAGCATGGAAGAAATTATGCAACATCCAGCCTGTAGTTGTGGGTGTCACCATGTGAGTTTTATTTGTTGCTTGATAGTTCTCATTGGCATCCTGCAAATATTGTACAGGAACACTTTAGCATGGAAGAAATTATGCAACATCCAGCCTGTAGTTGTGGGTGTTACCATGTAAGTTTTATTTGTTCAAACCTCTAAACACAACTCTCAAGTTGTACAATTCCACACAGATGCAGACGTAATGAACGTGGCTAAGACTTGATTCATTGAGCAACCACAATCTTTCTTTTCTTTGCATAATTTATTCAAAGTGAATGTTGTATCTAATTCTGGCACACATGTTGATGTCTGTGTGATGCTTTTGTAATTTTCACACCGGCCGCGATTACTTCCCAGGACATAACCTGTTACCCATTTGAGGCTGGGTTGTCCTGGGAACTAAGGTCAGTTTTGAAGAAAAAAATCCGACTGTTTGCAGTTTTCAAGCAAAGATCCCTCGACCGACAAGCAAGCGATCAGCCACTAGACCGCAACGGCTGCCGCAGAGGGCACACTGGAGGTGAAATACTTTGTAGACATAGATCTGTGTAACCGGCCCTTTATCTACACAGACTGTTTTTAAAATGGGGAACGTCACGGGCCAGAGGCTTGGGCCCCAGCATAGAAAGATCATTTTTACGGTACAACTGGCGGTGATCCACGGGCCACTTGCCCGCGGGCCGCCAGTTGAATAGCCCTGCCCTAGAGCCTTACAGGACTTTAAAGGATTTATGTCACCTCCGGACAGAGACAGTCAACTACAATTTCATGATGAATGAAAGTTGTTACCTTTAAGGGCGGAGTACATGTGCATGAGAGGCCAGTAACCAACAGTCTACATAAAATAAGCCAGATCTGTAAAACGGACGTGTACGCAAAACTCAAGTTCTAAAACAAGGCTAACATCCAGAAGTGGACGAACAACTAGAACTTTCAGCCAGAGTTTGCAGATGGTGAACGAGAAGAAAGAGAAGAAGAAGAATTTTCATGACATCTGATATGGACAGACTGAAGATGGAAGGCAGTGAAGCGTGAGGAGAAATATTCTGTGTCACTAGCAAGTCTCAGATCTGGCACACACTAAGTAACACGATCTGGCACTGGTAATTGAGCGTGAGAAGATGGAAAGTTTGAGCGGGGTAGTTTGGCAGATGTTTGTAATCAGTACTCGCACATCTCATTTGGATGCAGTATAAGCGACGAGATAGCCACGTCTGGATTCGGTACAGCAATTCATTGAATGAATGCGAATGCATATCTTCTCTGTGTGTGGTGTCAAATTCTTCAACAGGATAATATAAAATGCAATATTCACGCTGTGTTTCAGTGAAAAGTTGTTTTTGTTGGAGACATTTGGATTTTTTGTGCGTATACGTTTTCTATAATTAGTACATTATATACAATAGTAAGCTTCATTTAGGTTAAATTAGATAACATAAATATAGTACATTTACATTAGTAAATAATTACGTCAGTTAGGCTAGAGTGACTCCTTGAGTGTGAAAGTCCATGAGGCGGGAGAACTGGCGAGAGACCGAGTGTCTTTCAGGCAGACTGTGATGAGAGCGACGTTCTGCAAAGGACCTGCTACATGATGATGAGGGTAGATATAGTGCATAAACATCAGTAAACGACTAATTTAGATAGCATAGATACAGTACACGTGAATCAACCAATCAGCATGTTTTTTTACAGCAGCGGTTCTGAAACGTTTATGCCGCGGCACCCTTGTCGGGCTAAAAAACTTTCGCGGCACACCTACCCTTAAAGCGGTTGAATACTTAGAGAAAAAAGTGCAAATTTAATGTTTACTTGTTAATAATGCCATGAATGACACTGTTTTGATGAATTTTGCATTAAATCCTTCTTGCATTGAATCCTTTTTATTTTCATATTAAGAAATTCTCTTTGTCATGGTTTGCCCTGCCGGAAAAGATAATGCGCGGCGTTTGAGAATTAAAAAAAATTCCTTTATGTACTAAATCAGAATGATTGCATTCCAGATGTCTCTGTAATTAAAACAGAACCAAGCAGCCGTTAGCAACATTTCTATGGCAGTTAACGCTTTGCCCTTCCGGTGCCTGTTTGTTCCCAACCGAAACAAAGGCAGGTAGCCAGGATCATATTTTCTTAGTTTTCCTCGGATTTTCTTTTGGTCGTGAGTCGCCTGTGCGCGAACTGAGGCAGACCAACTTGGGAGGCTTAGGCTCGCAGGTGTCTGCTGAGACAATGTAACCATAACTTTACTTATAGACTGCACCTTAATGAATGCAGGTAGCGAATAGGTCGCACCTCGAGATAAATACAAGGACAATTCTTAGCGTAACGGTTGGCATTTTATGCAGTATGAAACACGGCTGAGTGTGAAACACGGCTGAGAGTGAAACACGGCTGAGTGTGAAACACGGCTGAGTGTGAAACACGGCTGAGTGTGAGACAAACACAAAACTCTTTTCGACAGCGGCAAGGGAAGAGAATTTAAAATTTAAGTCTCTAAGTATCTTTATGCCTTCTTTAATAATTTTATAACGTTTAGCCGACTTTTCTTGACTGCTGCCGCGTCACCCCAGGCATACACTCGCGGCAACGGAGGGTACCGCAGCACCCAGTTTAAGAACCTCTGCTTTACAGGACGTCTCTTCACTGCACGCTTGAAAGTCTCTCGTTCTCTAGCGAATTCCCCAGCCCTGTGTGCTTTTATTGCCAGTGCCTCCTGGGTGTCCTGTATCCATCTTCGCTAGGTCGGCCTCTGCATCATGCTCCGGAAACTGCAACCGCCATCACCGCTCTCGCTTCAGTACAAATCATCATCATCATGTAGCAGGTCCTTTGCAGAACGTCAGTATGTCTGAAACAAACTCGGTCTCTTGCCTCGTGTACTTTCTCATGCAAGCAGTCACTTATACCCTGTGCCCATGTGTGTTGGTCGTCCCCTGCCCCTCCTGCCTGGTACCATGCCTTTTGCTGTTTTTTTTTTTTACCAGTCCACCACGGCGATTGATATTACCAAAATATTTCAGCTTCCGAGACAAGATACAGTTTATTACCAAATCTTGCTTGCTGTTGTTTTAAAATTTCATGTTCACGTATTCTGAGAATCTTTCTATAGTATTTTAACTGAAAAGCCCATATTTTCTTTAAGAACTGTGAGATTTCCAGGACTCACATCTATATGTTGCTATCCGTATGTTTTTATAAAAAAGAGGTGTTTTTTTCAACGGGTGAATTCGTTTACCTGAAACCATCAGGCTTTCATTGTCTCTTGTGGCAAGTTACAGTACCACCAATATTCGCTTCGGGAGCCTGGGAACCATCCGGGCTGGTCTATATGTAGTAAGTACTGCAGTCACTGACAGATAATTGCGTAGGTGTCTGAAACAGTCAGCTTTCACATTCTACAGGTCACCGCATAATGGAAAGGGATGGCCGTTTTCCTTTCTTGCTGGCCCCTTGTCTTTCTGGCTGCTTTTTCTTCACAGTTAATTCTCTGAAAGTATATATATTATCTGGCACCCGTTGCATTTGGTTGACTGACCTCTAGAGCCACAGTTGTAAAAAAAAGGGGTGGGGGGGGGGGGGCGAAAGAGAGAGAGAAGAATCATGGCACTTCTAAAGACTTTGGTAGGTACAGGATACGTACCACGCAAAGACGCA